CGTACGCATTCGCAAAAGGCAGGCCGTTTGCTCATTAGGATCGGGCACTTTCTTGGCGACACGGTCTCGATCGAGTGAGGGGAAACAGGTGAGGAACATATTAATTAGTAATTAAGACGGCGGCTTTAGAGCCAAGCCTCGGCACCGTTGCATGTCAAAACACAAGTTCAACCGCTCACTGGCCAAGTCGGGGGACGGACTCAATCAGGACTCCTATCTCCATGAGAAACAGGTTCGACGAGTTTGTCGTCATGACTCGTTATCAGTCTCGAATGGGGCCCCATCTGTGGAAGTGCCCGCATCGCACGAGAATCTTCGCTGGGCCCAACACAGGATTCAGTGTCGCTACTTGTGTCGTATATCGGTTGAATTTAAACGGCAGATGTTTCATCAATATGCTTGTTATTATGGCTAGGTCGAGGGGAGAATCGCCGTGACACTACGCAGAGGCGACACACTCAACGGGCCCTTGTGGTTGCCTGTCTTATTTGCCTGCCCTTCTCTCTTTCCATTGCGCGTCGGTCTACATAGCTCCTCCCCTACTCGGTCAAGAAAGATGACGGCAGCGACACTGCGTCATACATTTTGTGGTACGACGACGTGGGAAGGCACGGGGGCCGAATCGGCAATTGAACGACAGAGTGTTACAGTGGTGCATGCGCAGCCCAATGCACCAATTGCCCAACAATCGAAAAGACTGAATGTCTGAACTTGCTGGCTAGGCCACGACACAACAAGTGAAATGTGCCTGCAGCGTTGGGTCTCTGGCGACATGCCGCGTGGAACGTTTGGACTGGCTGACAGGCACAGAACGAATAAAATGGCCAGCCGCAGCTAACGGACTTCCACTAATGCCGACTCCGTTGGCTCTTTCCTCCCATTTGTTGTGAATGCGCTGGCTTCCTACGGCGACTTTTTGGTGGCGGAAGGCGCAATTCAGCCCGTTTTCTAAATGGTCCTTTGTCAGGCCCAGCCCAACAGGGGGGTTGCATCGTAAGGGGACAGGGGTAGGCATTGCGTACGCTGCAAAATGTGGAAGGAGCGAGCCGAAGAATGTTAATGGCTGGCCATCCCATTTACACTAAGACAGAAAGAGGGAAGGCGCCACTAACATTACACTATTCCTCCCATCGACCTGGGACTCGAAATGTGTCCGACCATGCGATGGTGCCGGAATGGGGAACCAGATAGCTTTTCGTCTTCGTTTTTGTGATGGTCTGCCCCATAGCCCTCTTCGATAGCAATCTTGGCTACCTCTGCTTCGATGGGTCCTTTTCCATCCATCAAGCTGGCGTTCGTCCGTTCTTGCACAATTCCACCATCATTATTTCGTACATGTGCGCGTTTCCCCTCGCGCCTTCTTTGCTTGCCTCTTTTCACCTTTCAGCGCCTTCTCCATTTGGAGTATTACAGCCCTCGCTCCAGAACTGCCGTGGTTAAAGATTGCGTGGTGATTGCACACCTTCCATTTTGTCTATCGCGCTCGCACCTCGAACGGCAACCACTACCGGACCAATCTGTCTCGTTCCTCCTTCCTGACGTGTACGTTTCTTATCAGGACGGACCTTGCCCCGTCTCTTGACCACGTCTACGCTTCCACAAATTGCCCCAGGGCGGCTCCCACTTCGCATCTCTCTCTCTCCCATCCCGTGTCGTCCATCCATCCCTCTTCTCGCCCATTCAAGACCCACCACATCCCGTCTCACACGGTGCCGTTTTATTCTCCTTGCCGTCTCTACCGTTTGGCTGTGTTTCCTTTGTTTCGCCAACACTGCGCGCGCGGACACCACCCCGTCCTCACGGATCCTAGGCTTGGTCTTTGGGTCGTCCAATCTGGAACAGGCTCGCAAAGCTGGTGTTGATCCGGCTTGTCGTCAACCCCAGTCTGTCTCCTGGCTCGCTCTTCCCGCCCCATTTCTCTCGTAAGACTCTCCATCCCCAGTGTCTGCTTGTCTTCGTCCTGAAACAGGGCATATGATGTACAGCAAGCAATTTTCTGAGGTGTTTTAAAAAGCACGAGTGTCCCCATCGGCTCGGAAGGAACTCGACGACAACCTCCGGCACTTATTTGGCCAGTGCAGCAATTTCACCATATCTCGCAATCGATCTGCGCGGCGCAGCCCTCTTATTGCCAATCTCCAAGACACAGCACACCTCCTTGTATGCGCACGCAATAATTCAATACCACCCAAAAACGTCCAGCTTCGATAAATGTCATATTCTTTGGCGCAGCAGTCAACAAGCCCGCGCATCGCGTCTCACACCTCACGTCATTGACGCTGAAGTAAAACACCGGACAAGACGATGTCTGAATCAACAAACCTGCTGCGCCGGCCAGCAGCGTCGCCAAGCAACTACTCTCCGGCAGAAGGACACGCCGAGACCGATGCGCTTCTCAGCGCCGACATCGATGCAACCGTCGACTCCGAGCCAGCACCAACATCGGCATCGATCGGTGGCCGGAAAGATAGCTGGGATGGCGGAGAGGACTTTGCAGGCCTACCTTGGACGCAAAGGCCGTCCATCTACTGGCTCATTGGCCCCTACGCATTGTTCACGCTGGCGTTTGGTGGCTCGTTGGTACCAAAGCTGAATCTGATTATAGATTTGGTCTGTCGCCAATATTTTGCTGATCGCCAGCACGAGGGCTTCCATGTGCTGCCCGTCGTGCCTGGCGCCAACAACCCGCAGTGCCAGATTGCCGAGGTGCAGCGGAATGTTGCCACTTTCACGCTCGTCCTCAGCGTCATTGTCGGCTCGCTGAGCGCCTTCACAGCGCCTCGTCTCGGCGCTGCATCCGACCGCTACGGCCGCAAAACCATCATGGTAATTTCATCGTCCGGCGGGCTCATTGGCGAGGTCATCACTATCCTGGCGGCCAACTACCCCGACATCATTCACTACAACTGGCTGATTCTGGCTTCGGTGATTGACGGCTTTGCGGGCTCGTTTACCGCCGGCAGTGTTGTCAGCCACTCCTACACCAGCGACTGCACGCCGCCTTCCAAGCGCGCCGTGTCCTTCGGCTACATGCACGCCTGCCTCTTCTCTGGCCTGGCCTTCGGCCCCTTGCTTGCGGGCTTCTTAGTGGAATGGACAGGGTCGCTGCTGTCCATTTTCTATGTCACGCTATGCTGCCATGCCATATTCATCCTCTACATCATTTTCATCCTTCCCGAGTCTCTGTCGCCGCGCCGCCAGAACATCGCTCGTGAGAAGTACGCCAAGGAGCAGGAGCTGCACACGATTCGAAACCGTGAACTTGATTTGGCACATGAAGCAGCGGCGGCGTCTGGGCGTAAGACGTGGCTGCCGGCCTATGCCCGGAAAACCATCCTCCGCGTGCGGCGGTCCAACCCGCTGGCTCCTCTCACGATTTTGTTTCCCAGCGGCGCCCACCAAAGACGCGCACGGCGGAACCTGCTTGTCTTGGCCACCATCGACACGCTGCTTCTCGCGGCGGCAATGAGCTTGGGCGCCGTCACCCTCCTGTACACCGAGTTCATGTTCCACTGGGGCAACTTTGAGACGTCCGCCTTCATCTCCCTCGTGTCCATGGTGCGCGTTGTCGTGCTCATGGGCATCTTCCCCGTCATCAACTACTTTTTCCGTGTGCGCCCCGCTGCGCGCCAGCGGCGGATCTCGGGCGAGGCGCCGAGCGAGGCCAACAGAGGCGCCGATCGTCTGGACATTTTCCTCATTCGCAGTGCCATCTTCTCGGACGTGCTCGGTGTGGCCGGTTACATCTTTGCACGGAAGCCAGCCGTATTTGTTCTATGCGGCATTGTGACGGCCTTTGGCGGCCTGGGATCTGCTACGATCCAGTCCTCGCTCACCAAGCATGTTTCTCCCGACCGGGTTGGCCAGCTCCTCGGCGCCATCGGCCTCCTCCACGCACTCTCACGCGTCTTCGCCCCAATGATTTTCAATGGTCTGTATGCCGCGACGGTCGGCAGCTACCCGCAGGCTGTGTTTGTACTGGTGACCGGTGTCTTCTCTTTTGTCTTCATCCTGGCGTTCCTCGTCCAACCGCACGGTATGCATCTCCCTTGCTGCTCTTGGCTTATCCATTGGCCCCTCAATAACCAATACTAACCAATCAGTCTTTTTGGATGACTCTATCCACAACGAAGAGGAGGCACCTGTTCCTTCGCGTCGCGCCGTTGCTGCGCAAAATGACGTTCTGGGGGATGATGACGTCGTGCAGCAATTCTAATGCAATTGCGGGCCGGCAATGCCATACAGAAGTCTCTTTTTTGCCGTTACCTTATGACGTTTTTCTTTCATCGGTAGCATTAGTCCCTTTGCGTCACACCATTTTCTGTCAGTTTACGACCGCGATTCCATTTTTTGATTCGATTTTATTTTTTTGTATATCTAGTACTTTCCTGGCGATTCCCAATTGTTTATTTTTTACCGACTGCACAGGCTTGGTTGTCTTACGATCTGATAGAGAAGGTGGACAGAAGTGCGTGTTGTGTTGACGCAGCGCTTGAGCAGTGACTATTATTATGTTATGCTGCATTTTGGAACTTGGATGTATATTTTTATTCGCATTCTTGTCACTGCATGACAATCACGTGCGGACCTCCTACCACTTCATTTGTGTGAGAGGTTGTTTTTAAGCATATTTAGTGGTTTGCCTTCCTAAAACGGCAGTTGCAGCTGCACTGTGGGTCACGTATTTCGCGGCTGCAACAACGGAAAGAACAGTGATGTCAGTTCGTTTTGCAGGGAGTGCTGTGGACTCAGCTCCGCACTAGAGCCGTCGTGCACTCTTCCACGGCTTGGATCGGCCTTACTCCTCTCCCACGTTTTTCACGCCAATCCGATCATCTAGATTATTTTAGAGGTGGACGGTTTTTTGGCCAAACAAAACGAGTTAGGGAATAAAACTACAACCACCTCGAAGCCAACAATCTACGACGACGCCTCCGATTCCTCCCGTCCATCGATCACCACACTTGACTCATAAGACTCGCTAGAGCACGCATGGAACCATGACAAAAACGCCACCGGACTCGCCCGCCGTCTCGTCCCGAGAGGAGAACGCGGCTCGGACCCTTGCCGAGCACCTGCCACAGGGCTACACAGCTGACTTCGTCCCGGAGGACCAGCAGCAGACGGCAACGGGGAGCTCTGCGCCATATGCAGACAAGGACCGGCCCGCCGCTGGCGGACGCAACCCCAGCGGCGACAGCGGCGCCAGTGGTGGTGCATCGGAACCGCATCTCAACACACCGTCCCTAGCTCCAGCCGCATCCACATTGGCGTCCATACGGTCCGGCAGAGACGAGGCTGAAGGCGAAGCGGGAGCGGAGCAGCGCGAGGAGATCTCCTCGTTGCATCTGCAAGGCGGCGATGTTCACCGGTCCCTGTTCCGCATGGCCGAGGCACCGGCGCGGATGCAGGTGCTGCAGAGTCAGCCGCTCCTGACACCCTCTCCGCTGTCTCTCTCCACGACAGCCTCGCCCGCACAAGACCATGCCTCGGCTTCGCAGCCATCACAGAGGCCACCGCAGCAGCAGCAGCAACCACAAGCGCAGCAACAATCGCAACAACAATCGCAACAACCATCCGCAGGGCCCGCACAGCTCCCCAACAGACCACTCCACCGACGAGCCGCGACGTTCCACGACCGGTACACACCCAGTGAAGTGAGCAGCGTGACTGGCGGCCCCAACGGCGACGGCAGCGAGCACGGAAGCGAGCACGGCGGGTACGACGACAGAGACGGGCCCCAGATGCAGGTGCGCGACCTGCTGGCGCCGCAGGGTTTCCGCCGCGATTTTGTGCTGCAACAGATCCGGCAGCGCCAGCTGCAGGAACGCGAGGCGACGATGCAGCGGCGGCGGACACACCTGCGCGAGCGACGGGCCTCCGCATTTCGTGCCGTGAAGATGCCGATTGCGCGCAACTTTGTCGAGTTTCTCGAGCTCTACGGCCATTTTGCCGACGAAGACCTGGAAGCGTCCGACGACGACGAGGATGACGGCGGTGCCGAGGAGCAGATCGAAGAGGAGTACGAGGAAGTAGAAGAAGAAGAAGAAGGAGAGGGACGAGGAGGTACCGAAGACGTGGAGCGTGGGATGGGAGCCGGCGGCGGTCTTCGGCGGCGGCCGCACGAGCGGCAGCCACTGCTTGGCCGGCGGACGTCTGGTGCTGTTGTGGCCTCGGCGAGCAGCGATGCCGCTGGCGACGGCAGTGGCAAGGCCAAAGCCGGCCTGTCCCAGGCCTTTTTCACGCTGCTCAAGGCCTTTGTCGGCACGGGCATCATGTTTCTGCCCAAGGCCTTCAACAACGGCGGCATGGTCTTCTCGACGGTCACCCTGCTCATCGTCTCCATGCTGTCCATGGGCGGCTTCGAGCTGCTGCTGCGCTGCCGCCAACGGTATGGAGGCGGCTACGGCGACATTGGCCTGGCCATTGCCGGCCCGCGCATGCGCAGCCTGATCCTGGGCTCCATTGCGCTTTCGCAGCTGGGGTTCGTGTGTGCCGGCATTGTCTTTGCAGCCGAGAATCTGGCGTCGTTTGCGTCTGCCGTGGCGCACGCCCACACGCGCCGCAACCCCCTTGATGGAGGCGGAGAGGGAGGCGTGGACGACAGCGTCCTGTCGACCAACGCCTTCATTGCTCTCGAAGTGGCCGTGCTGATCCCTCTCGGTTTCGTGCGCGACATTGCGCGCCTCGGCCCCGCCGCCCTGCTCGGCGACGTCTTCATCGCCATCGGCCTCGTGTACATGTACACGTACGACGTGGCGGCCATTGCGGCGCGCGGCTGGCGCATGCACGAGACGGTCGATCTGTGGTTCAACCCGTCGGGCTATGCGCTGACGATCGGCGCCGCCATCTTTACCTTTGAGGGCATCGGCCTCATCCTGCCCATCCAGTCGTCCATGGCCCGCCCCGAGCGGTTTCGCTGGCTGCTCGGCGTCGTCATGGCCATCATCACGGCGGCGTACATCTCCGTCGGCGCGCTGGGCTACGCAGCGTTTGGCACCGGCACCAAGACCGAGGTCATTGACAACTACCCCCGCGCCAGCGCCCTCGTGCAGACCGTGCAGTGTCTGTACGCGATTGCCGTGCTGGCGGGCATGCCGGTGCAGCTCTTCCCCGCCGTGCGCATCATCGACGGTCGCCTCTTCCGCACCAAGTCGTCTTCTGGCAACGGTGCTGTCTACTACCGCTCGGGCAAACGCGACCCGCGCATCAAGTGGGCCAAGAACGCCCTGCGCACTGCGCTGACGGTGGCCTGCGGTGCCGTCGCCGTGCTGGGCGCCGGCCACCTCGACCGGTTTGTGGCCCTCATTGGGTCGCTGGCCTGTGTTCCGCTGCTCTTCATCTACCCGCCGTATCTTCACTACCGGGGCATGGCGGACGAGTCGTCGGCGCTTCTTCGGGTCCTGGACATTGCCCTGATGGCCGTCGGCACCGTTGCCATGATTTACACAACGATCGTGACCGTGCAGGGCGGGTTATGAGTTGAGGATGTATTCTTTATGTTGCTAGATTGGAACTGTGGGCGGGGTTGCTATTGTTTCTTGGATCAAAAGCGTTGCAGTGCATATACGCGTCTATGATGGTATTGGATTTAAAATCGTCTTTGGGATTGAGCGGGCGTTCCAAAATGTTTGATGGTTTATTGCAAGTCGTCTGTGATATCGATTAGCTATCGAGGGAGTCGAAATGAAAATACGAATGCAGTTATATTGTGACGTCGAAAATATATCCCATAAGCCTACAATATTTTCAACACAAAGATAACATACACAGAAATAATCCTGATCAACAAATACGACTTCACGGCGTCCTATGAGTTCCTTATGTATGTTGTAATATGATGTTGAACGTCAACATAATTAAAGTGGAAAGTGCATCACGTGAGCTCGCGACAAGGGACTCGCTGTTCTTTCGCGTGGCGATCCACCCCGCGATCTTTTTCACGCCCCCTCTGCTTCAAAACTTAAAGTCAACACCTACCCACAGTCGCAACACCTTCCCACCCGACGGAGACGAGCAGTCCAATGGAGCTTGTTTTTGAGGTGCCTAGCATACAATGGCCGACGCGGTGACAGCGGACGGTCGTGGCGGCGGCAGACGACGAGACGGAACGAGACGTCGAACGATTCTCGCCAAAGTACAGAGCGAAACAAACACAACGGACGGACCAGGTAGCAAGCGAAAGCGATCCGATACGACGGGTGCTGTGTCTGGAGATGCGGGTACCCCAGTGGCCGAGGATGCCCCCACACCCGGCAGTGTCGACAGCGACGGAGGCAGTACGGCAAAACCAGCGTCGAAACGCAAGACCTCTGCGAAGGGGAAGCCGGCGACACAGAAGGAGAACAGTAACGATGCCGAGACTCAGTCTGACAAAGGCCCCACCCCGCGCAAGGTCGATGCCTGGCCCGAGTGGTTCCGTGACCTGGAAAAGACGCACCGCGCCCTGAACCTGGTGTACACCATCTGCTGCACGCGCAAGCACCTGTTGACGACGTTTGCGACGATCAAGACGGCCGTCGAGTCCAACACGGGCCGTCCGCTGCTCGAGAGCGACGTGGCCGCCGTGGCGGCGCTCCTGTCGCTGCACTTCAACAACGGCAGCAGTTCTGCTGACGCCGCCGGCACGATCCGCTTTGCCTATGTGGACGAGCTGTCGCTGCAGGTCGACATCCAGGGTGCAGAACGTGACACCACCTTCAAGACGGGTGCGACGAGCCGGACCCGGAACAATTTGAAAGCCCCGGGCCCGGCAGCCGACGCGTCGGTGGGCGGCATCACAGGTCGAGAGGCAATGAAGGTGCGGCCAGACGGAGGCGTCTACGACGAACAGGGCACGCAGGACCAGCCGCTGCACAAAGAGGTCCTGTATTTCGAGTTTATCGACGAGGGCCTCAAGCGGGAGGTTGCTAACCCGAAGACAGGTGAGCCGACAAAGCCGACACGCATGCTGCGGGACGAGCAGCTGCGGATGCCCATGTACGGACAGAAGCAGATGGCTGCGCTCATCGAAAAGCGCAACCGACGGTTTGCGACGGCCGTGAATGCATTTCTGGACCGGTGCGAGGGACTGGAGGGCGAGAGAGATGCGACCGACCCTGTCGAGTCGTTGAAAAGCGAAGCCGAGGCGTTTGTACCCGTACCGAGCCCCGAAGAGGGTCTTGTTGACGCGCGGCCGTCGCGAAACAACGGCGACACAGACAGCGACGACAACAGCAACAACGGAATCCCGCCGACGATTCCGGCGGAACGGAAGACGATCCCCGAGATTGTGGACGAGCTGAAGAACAGCTCGTGGTACTCGGGACAGGTGGTCCCTGACGGCCACCGCGTGTTCGAAGAGCAGGAGCCCGTGTACGGCGACCTGGATTTTCTGCTGAGCCAGGACATGGTCAACGCGCTGTACAACGCCAAAGGCATCACGCAATTCTATGTGCACCAGACCGAGGCCATTAACGCGCTGCACGCGGGCCGCCACGTCGTGGTGTCGACGTCGACGAGCTCGGGCAAGTCGCTCATCTTCCAGCTGCCTGTGGTCCATGCACTCGAAGATGACCCGTTCACGCGCGCCATGTACATCTTCCCAACCAAGGCGCTCGCCCAAGACCAGAAGCGCAGCCTGCGCGACCTCCTGGCATACATGCCGAACCTGTGCGACGTTCTCGTGGAGACGTACGACGGCGATACGCCGTGGAAAGAGCGCGACCGCATTCGCGAGGAGGCGCGCGTCATCTTCACGAACCCCGACATGCTGCACGCCGCCATTCTGCCGCAGGAGAGCCGCTGGCGCTCGTTCTTGCAGCGGCTGCGGTATGTCGTGGTCGACGAGCTGCACTACTACAACGGCCTCATGGGCTCGCACATGGCCTTCATCATGCGCCGGCTGCGGCGCGTGTGCGCCACTCTCGGCAACCGCTCGGTGCGCTTCATCTCGTGCTCGGCCACAGTGGCCAACCCGCGGGAGCACTTTGAGACCATCTTTGGCGTCATGGACTGGGAGCGCGACAACCCGGAGCAGCCGTCGCCCGTACAACTCGTCGACTATGACGGCTCGCCGTCTGGCCGAAAAGAGTTTCTCTGCTGGAACACGCCCTTTCGCGTGCCGGGCGATCCGGCCAGCGGCCGCGGCAGCGCGCTCTATGAATGCGCGCGGCTGTTCTGCGAGCTGATCTTGCGCGGCGTGCGCGTGATTGCCTTTTGCCGCGTGCGCGAACAGTGCGAGAAGCTCGTAGGCGCCGTCCAGCAGGAACTGGAGCGGCGCGGACGCCACGAGTGCCTATCGCGCGTCATGGGCTATCGCGGCGGCTACACCGCGCACGACCGGCGACGCATCGAGGCAGACATGTTTGCGGGCCGCCTGGTGGGCATCGTAGCGACGACGGCGCTGGAGCTGGGCGTCGACATTGGCTCGCTCGACTGCGTCATGACGTGGGGCTTCCCCTACAGCATCGCCAACTTGCGACAGCAAAGCGGGCGCGCGGGGCGGCGGCGGGGGCGCGACTCGCTGTCGATTCTGGTCGGCGACTCGTTTGCGACGGACCAGTACTACATGCAGAACCCGGACATGCTGTTTGACCAGCCGCACGGCTCGCTGCAGGTCGACCTCGCCAACATGCTGGTGCGCGAGGGCCACGTGCAGTGCGCCGCGTACGAGATGCCGATCCGCCCCGCGGACGACGAGCAATACTTTGGCCCTGGGCTGGCGGCGCTCTGTGCGGAGCGCCTCGTGCGCGACGAGATGGACTGCTTCCACTGCCACGACCACTTCCGCCCGCAGCCGTGGAAGCTGGTGGCGATCCGCGACACCGAGGACGACCACTTTGCCATTGTGGACATTGGCCACAACCCACCCATTGTGCTGGAAGAGCTGGAGGCGTCTCGCGCCACGTTTACCCTCTACGACGGCGCCATCTTCCTGCACCAGGGCACGACGTACCTGGTGCGCGAGTTCAGCCCGGACCAGAGCATGGCGCGCGTGGAGCGCGTGCGCGTGGACTGGACGACACAGCAGCGCGACTTCACCGACATCGACCCCATTGAGACGCAGGCGATCCGGCGGATTGGCGAGGGGGGTCCGGCGGCGCGCGACAGCCCGGACGCGGCGCGCGCGTACTTGGGCAAAATCCGCATCTCACAGACCGTCTTTGGCTACTTCAAAGTCGACCGCCGCGAGCGCATCCTGGATGCCGTGCAAGTGGACAACCCGCCGGTGGTCCGCTACAGCCGCGGCGCCTGGGTGGACGTGCCCGCGTCGGGCCTGGCCGTGCTCGAGCGGCGGCGCCTGCACATGGCCGCCGCGATCCACGCCGCCGAGCACGCGGTGCTGAGTCTGCTGCCCAACTTTGTCATCAGCGTGCCCGGCGACGTGCGCACCGAATGCAAGAGCGGCCTGAAGGAGTTCCAGAACCGCCCGGTCACCCAGCGCAAGCGCCCCGCGCGGCTCACGTTCTACGATGCCAAGGGCGGCGCCGGCGGCACGGGCATCACGGCCAAGGCCTTTGACTTTGTCGACCTGCTGCTGCAGCAGGCCCTGACGCGCATCGAGAGCTGTGCCTGCGGCCTGTACAATGCTGGCGACGCGCTGGCGGCCGCGCGCGGCTGTCTCGAGTGCATTGCATCGCCCAACTGCCACGAGGCCAACATGGTCATGAGCAAGGCCGGCGCCGTCGTCGTGCTGCGCAGCCTGCTGGGTCTGCCCATTGACGAGGACGCGCTGCCAATGGGCCCGGAAGAGGGCATCCCGGCCGGCCCGGAGACGGTTGTGCTGGCCACGCCCGTCCCGGGCGTGCATGCGATGCCGGCAGTCAAGATGGAGCCACTCGAGATGCAGTCGCCGCCGAAGCATTCGACACAATGAACGAATATACGGCGCTGTTGATTTTACAGAAGAAGTATCAAATTTGACTTGTTTGACTCATTTAACTCTATTCACATGTCTCGAGGCGAACGAGCAGGCAAGAAGCGAACGCTTCTGCTGGAAATGTAAAAAGGTTGGAAAAGACCAAGACATAATGGCAAGCATATCGGGTGGCATAATTGTTGGATTTGAGCCGGATGCCATGGGAGGTCTTCGAATATTGTATAGCATTTCGCTCGTTTCGGTGATGTCGTTCGTACTTGCCTAGTCATATGCGGCGCCAGATCCAGCCGAGGTATCTAGCTGTTCCCCAACTTTCTTGGCTTTGGGGCGCACCTTCCCCGCAAACCGTACCTAACCTTTTGCCTTTGTACCTTCCCAGCGTGGTGGCGCAAGTCACTCGGCACTACTAATTCATAAGACCGGTACTTTGCGCTTGCTGTAACTTTCATTTGGGGAAGTCGCTCCCGGGCAGGTCTAGTTTCTACGTTCTAGCCGATGACCGTGCAAATGGAATGCATGGTCCGGCAGTCTCTTTTGGATGGTGTACGCCGTAGTATCTTCTTGCGCGACAGCATTATATATCTCTTTCGTCGCCCAAGTCTTTTTAGTGCGTCTCAGCCTTTTCAAAAGACGTCCTTCTTGCTAGTTCTCGACGCGGCGCTCGTTCCTTCCTCCTTCATCCCGTCTCGTTGCATCTCATCGTCGCCGGAAAGATCGACTGACACGTGCCTCGGCTCTTTCCACTTACGTCATCCGCCAACCACCAACCTCACCTCGTCGTTTTTTCTTCCTTTCACAACACTTTTTCTCCTACAACCACAACGTCTCATCTACGTCTCCAATCGCCGCCATGTCTGACAACGCCGACCCCGATGTCATCCGCGTGTCCTATGAGGGCCGCGTCGCCGTCCTGACCATTGACAACGCCAAGAAACTCAACGCGCTGTCGCTGGGCCAGTACTATGACCTGGCCGTCAAGCTCAGCGAGATTGCCAAGCGCGACGACATCTATGTCACTCTTCTGACGGCCAACGGCCGCTTCTTTTCCGCGTGAGTACATACCGGTGTGATGGTTTTTTTGGGGGGGATTTTTGATGTTTTTTTTCCTCTCTTGCTGGGTCAATCATTTGCTAACAGAATAGCGGCGCCGACGTCTCCCTTGCAGAGGGCACCCCCCTCGGCCAAGGCCGTGACGCCCACCAGCACTGGCTGCGCTCGTTTGTGGCCAACAACCTCAACATTGCCCGCGCCTTCTACACGCACCCCAAGATCCTGGTCGTCGGCCTGAACGGCCCGGCCATCGGCCTGTCGGCGGCGCTCGTCGGTTTCGCCGACTTTGTCTACTGCACGCCCTCGACCTTTTTGCTGACGCCCTTCAGCTCGCTCGGTCTCGTCGCCGAGGGCGGTGCGTCGCTGGGTCTTGTGCAGCGCCTCGGCCGCTCCAAGGCCAACGAGGCCCTGATTATGAGCAAGCGCATCTCGAGCGCCGAGCTGCTGCAGACGGGCTTTGTCAATGCCATCTTTGACGGCGAGGACGCCGCGTCCGACGCGGCTTTCCACAAGCGCGTGCTCCGCGAGATCGACGACCGCCTAGGCGACCACCTAATTGGCGACTCGATGTTGGGCATCAAGCGGCTGATACGCCGCGCCGACGACGAGACGCTGGACCGCCAGAACGTCAGCGAGGTGTTTGCCGGTCTGGATCGCTTCATGACCGGCGTGCCGCAGGAGGAGTTCCGCAAGCTGGCCATGGGCGAGAAGCGGCACAAACTGTAAAGCTAATGTCACGGTGAAAACAAAAAGAAGAAAAGAAGAAAAAACGAAAAGAAAAGACAAAGAGACTCATAGAACGAAATGTACAGCGCAAATGCTAATTTTGGATGGCCATCAATCACATCGGGATCTTGGATGTTGTGAATTGTATTGAAATCTCTTTTCTTGTATCATCATTGGTTCTTTATTCATTGTACATATACTACCGATTGTGTCTCCGTCTGCGGCTCTCCGTTTATTTATTTTTTTGTCTATGCCAACAGTCCAAAAAGTAGGCTCGTCTTCTTCCAGTACTCCTGCGCAGCCTTGGTGATGCGCTGCCGTGGCGTCTTGCTGCCACTGTCGTTGGACTCTTCCTCGGGCAGGCCCGTGCGTCGGAACACTGCGTCTTCCAGTTCGACCATGCCTCGCTTCTTCGTCTTGTCTGTCTTGCCGGCGTCACTGCCCAGACTGCACCGCAGCCAGGCGACGTCAAAGAGCCATTGCTTCAGCAGATCCTTCCGGTCGTCCGTGGACAATGTGGTTGTGGATGCAGCATCTTGCTTCTCTCCACCAGACGCCGCGCTCGCCTCCTTTTGATTTTCCGTTTGTAGAGTCGTGTCACTGTCCTCCTGGAGGTAGTCGGCCGTCTCCAGCAGCGCGGTCCACTGTTCACCGAGCTGCTGGGAGACCTGCTGCTTCAGCTGGGCAACGGCGGCCGGGCTCCAAAGGTCCATGCCGGCCGTGCCCATGGCGGTCGACAGGTCGCGCAAAAATTTGAAGACACCAGGCGACGGGGTCGAGGGCAGAGCGGCCGACTGGCCCATGGCATCCCAGAGAACGCGACCGGCCACCGTCTTGCGTGTCAACGTCGTGCGGGTAAACTGCTCCAGCGGCGGGGCAACAACGACGCGGACAATGGCCGCGTGCAGTTCGGGGATGATGGCCAAGCCGAGCTGTCTTGTGGCTGCCGACGCGGACGACGTGGCCGGCCGCCGACTGCGAATCTCGCGCAGCACGCGCACGAGGTACATGGCAATGTTGCCCTTGGTGGTCGGTGCCAGATCGTCGGACGAGGCGACAGCCGCCCATTCGGTCGTGATTTGAGCATTGAGCTCCTGGAAGGCAGTGTCGAGGGCTGCCTCGAGCCGGTCGTGCAGTGTCTGTGGGTCGTCCTTGCTCAACAGCTGCTGGCGCTGCGCAATCGTGTCCTCGTCCTCGACAATGTCGTCCACGTCATTGTCCCAGCGCTGCCGCCGCAGCTGGTCAACGACGGCAGCAACATCGTCGACGACATGACGCCAGGTCACGTACGAGGCAACAGCCTTGGCGACAGCATCGCTGCGGCCATGCAGGCGCGTGACGACGTCGCGGACAAAGGCCACAGCGCCCTCGGACAGGTCCGTGTCAATGGCCTGATGGTCGTCGTGCTTGGTACTGCTACTGTTTGTGCCCCACAGCTGCGCGTGGCGGTCCGTCACACCGTCCTGCCACGAGGCGAGCGTGGCAGCGACCTCGGACCCGACCAGCCGCAGCTTGCCAGCCTTGGTGGCGAGCACCTGCAGCATCTGCTGGTTGAAGACGGCACGGATCTTGTCGAGCAGCTCCGACGGATCGAAGCCGCGCGCCTTGCTACTGTCGCGGATCCAGAGCTGCAGCACGCGCGTGCGCAGGTCCACAATGGCGTGCATGTCGAGGTACCGCCGAATCACCAATGGAGTGCCTTGTGCCGGCTTTTCAGACGATGCGTCGGCCGGTGGCTGCTGTTCCAGGGCTCGCTGGAGGCCCGCCACAAACACCTCGCTGCCACGCTCGGCCCACTTGGCGAGCATGTCACGGGCCTGGGTGGCATCGAGGTCGTCGTGGCGGATGTAGGGCTTAAAGTACTGCACGTCCTCGCCGCACCAGCGGGCATACACATCCAGGCGCAGACCCTCGACCTGGCGCAGGGCGTCGTCGTCGAGCAGCGCCCGCCGCTTCAGGCCCAGCAGGGCCTCGGGCAGCCGGTGCGGCAGCAAGGCCTGCACGTCCAGGAGGGTCTTGGTGTAGAGTGCCAGGCCACGCAGCACGTTGTCGGCCTTCCACGACGCCCGGTGGTCCGACGGCTGCTGCTGCTGCTGCGGCTGTCCCGGTTCACTCTGTTGGTTGTTCTGGTGCTCTTCTTCGTCCATCTCAAAAGCGAGTGCCATGGCCTGGCTGCGGACGTGTAAGAGCTGCCACAAGACATCGCGAGCGCCCGAGGTGGTGGCCAGGCTGTGGGCACAAAGGGCGCGCAAAAGGTCATCTCGTGCTGGCGCTGCTGCAGATACGGTATGGTGTCTGTCTCGCTGCTCTCGTGTAATGCTGCCATCGTTGTCTTCGTCCTCGTCGTTGGCACCACCACCTATTCTGTTGTTGTTGTCGTCGTCGACGTCAACGTCCTCGACCTCGTCGGCGTCGTCCGCTGCCGCTGTTGACTTGTCCAAGGCGGACGCAGGGACCGCACGCTCAACAACTTCAATCATGTCTCGGAGCCGCCGTCGCAGGCTGCCGAGTGACCGCTTAGACGCTTCGATGGACGCGAGCACGGCGGCGTCCTGCAGTGCTGCCTGCTTTGATCTTGATATTGTGCGGGGCGGGTCGCCGTTCGTGTCGTTTATGCCAGACAACAAGAGCCGGCTCAGCACAAGAACTTTGGACGCCAGCATCAACCGCTCTCCCCAGCTTTGATACTGCTGCTGCTGCTGCCGCTGCTGGCGGTAGTGGTTCCGTTGTTGTCGAGCGGATTTGCCCGTCTTGGAGGCGTGGCCGGCGCTGTAGTCTGGGTTCGAGCGCGACAGCAGGCGGCCGACAGTGCGCGAACAGGCCTCGAGCAGCCGTGCGCGAGCAGCCAGGCTCAGGGCAGACTGCTCCTGCTCGTGGTCGACAAAAGAGGCCAGCGCCGTCACTTTGCCGCCCACAACGGCACGGCCACAGCGCCCGCCCATGCCGGCCAGCGTGGACTGGGCGCCCTCCATGTCGGTGCGCATCTGCACAATGGTCTCGGCCGTACCAAGCAGCTCGCGGTAGGAGCCGCCGACCTGCGTTCGCAGGCGGGTGGCTTTGTCGTCGACCTGGACATGGAGGCTTTTGTGGATGGCGCGGATCTGGGGGAGGGTGTGTTTGGACGAGAAGATCTGGGCCGAGGACGTCAGAAGACCGACGTCTGGTTCGGCGGCGACCATCGCGGCGTCGGGAAATGGGCGAAATGGGCGGCGGGAAGAGCGATGAGGCCGGCTTCGTCGAGTGTTGGGTGATGCAATGGCTGCAAGACGGTGATGGTCGACTGTTTTGTGGGCGTGAGATGATACGTGTGCAGCTCCACCACCAGCGGGAAGGTGCCAGGGGGTTGTTGGGATAGTGGATTGGCCAATAGGGCAGGGCCGCGCACATTAGTGGTCGTAGTTTGCAAGGAAGGCGCTATGGGCTAACGACACGGCACAATCCCAATGTCCTATAATATATTGAGACAAATAGACAACCAAAGAGATAACATGGCCTCATATACTTCGAAAATATTGCAAAAATATTATTTGTCTTACATCTCGCTCGCTACATCTCACACTTTGCCGTAGCGTCTACTATATCCCAGACGTCGACACACCCGTCGCCTCTGGCCGGTCGTTCTTAACAGCATCTACATAATCGTCCCACAGTTTCTCGACTTTGTGGCCCAGTAGTCCCGGCCAGAAGGCGGCGCCATCATAATGCTCCAGCCGCAGCTTCTCGTTGATGCGGCGCACTGTGCCGTCACCGAACCGCCGTTCCAAGTACTCCAAAAAGTACGCCGTGTGCTGGTAGCCGCCATCCCAACGGCCAATCGCCGCAGGCTCGCGCTTCCAGTGCGGCGGCGACAGCGCACACTTGAGCCGCACCCAGTCGGCAATGCCTTCGACCAGTCCGCCGGGGCACGTGCCGTGGCCGTCCCATTGGTAGCAGTGCACCAGCTCGTGCGTCAGCACGCCGGCAATCTCGGCCGTGGCCCGCTGCTTCCGCGGCTGGATGCCCGCAATGTACCGCAAGCTGAAGTGGATCTCCTTGTGGTCGCCGTCGAGCTCCGAGCCCGTCGTGTAGGCTACGCCGTCCATGTCGCGCAGAATCACCGTGACGGAGCGGGTCGGCGTGATGTGCGTCTCTGGGTCAGCGTACCAGGCATTGCGGCCGTACAGCAGGCGCTGCACGTTGCCCACAGCCTGCTGCAGCACGGCAGACACGTTTACGGCGCCCAGGAACACATCGGCACCCTCGTGGTTGACATCCCGGATCTCGAGGCGCAGCTTCGGCTTGGGGTACGCCGGCGGCTCGGTGATGCGGTCGCTGTCGCTGGACCGTGCATCGGCTACGCGGCTGCCAGCGGCCTCGCTCAAACTGCCCTCTGGCGGCATCGGCGTCGGAGCCGGCGGAGCAGCTGTGCTGGATGCCACAGACGTCTCGTTTCCGCTGTCAGCCGTCATCGTCGCCGTGTCGTCGAGAGTAGACTTGGGACGGTTGACCAGCACACGTTTGACCGTCATGAGATGTGCGGGGGACGAGTTGGGAGTGCAGAGAACTGCAAGAAGGGGCAGGCTATTCGGGTTGGCTGGGCACTGGACGGAGAAGCAACGTGCGGTCCCGCAAGTGTCTCTGGCTGGATGGTTAAATATATTGTGTTGGTCGCTGTCTGTGTCGTGTCGTTTGAGGCATCGTGCAACGTTCTGTAAGCGAGAAGGAGCGCCTTACAACGATGGGCATCCGCTAAAAGTACCGACTACAAAAGGCACCTCCCATAGCCCCTTTCCAGGCGAAAGAGGCTGCCAGCTTTGACTACCAGAGCTTTCAGACATGGCAAAACGCGGGGCCGTATCGCCCAAATACAGGGCTCTTCAGTGGTCAGAAGTAGCCACTACAACCACTACAACCACTAGTGTCTTACCAGCGGCCAAGCCCGCCCCAGCCGCTAAAACGCCACAGAACGCGACTTCAGGGCACTAGCGCACTTTGCTACAGCAACAGACGCGGCTGGAGAGACCACCAACACGAGGTAGTGGCGGGGACCGCCAAACATAGGGGTAAGACAGCTTTGGCGAGGCAGGTGCAGGCACAGGGCGATGTGCCGAGTTGCGGTTTCCTGTTTTGGCTTTGTTGACGCAAAACACTCTGGACACTTTAATTTTGGCGATCTGGGTGGCTCCTTCCCTGTGGCCCGTCGAGCCACATCATACCCACACGCTATTTTCTCCCCTATCGAGATATTCAGAGGCTTCATTCCTCAACCACACCTCACGACGGAGTGCACACGCCCAACCCCCCTCCATTCCTCCCACTCCCCACCCCCCCAAAGCGCAACGTGGTCCACAGACCGCCGTGTGTGCCGTGCGTTGGCCGACGCGAGGAACCCTGTTTGTTTGCGTCCTGCAGCCGCATCGCATCCCAGGTCATAGTCATCCTGATATTGAGTAAGCAAATTCGACGACGACACAACGACGACCAGATACGACCAATTCTTGCGACTCGTTTCAACTACGACTGCACGACGGGCCATTCACGCCGTTGCATTGACGGCCGCAAATACCGGACCCGCGCGTCGCCGACGTGCCCCCTTTCGCGCTCCCCGCCTCCACCGTCCTCGACCTACCCGCCATGGCCGATAAGATCACCCTCGACCAGGTCAACGAGCTTCTGGGTGTTTTGCGCACCGACGCCTCTGTTGAGACCAAGGTGCAGCTCGTCACCGCCGCCAAGTCGGGCATCAAGCAGCACAACGTGCCCGACCATGCGATCCCCGTCCTCTTTGAGGCCCTGCGCACCGCCTCTTCCTCGCAACACGCCGCCCTCGTCAATGCCGGCTTCACGGGCCTCAACCACCTGCTGACGCGGTTGTCCCGTCAGGAACCCAAATTTCTAGCCAAGGAAGCGGCGCGCACGCTGCCGCTTATCGTCGAAAAGCTCGGCGACGTCAAGGAAAAGTACCGTTCGCTCGCGCAGCAGTCGCTCGTCACGCTGTACCAGGCCGCGCCCATGGACGTCGAGCGCTCGCTGCGCAACACCGCCATGACGGGCAAGAACCCACGCGCCAAGGAGACCAGCATGCAGTGGCTGTTGCAGATGCACCACGAGCACAGCCTGCCCTTTCGCGCCTACGTCCCTGTGCTGATGGAGCTGCTCGAGGACGCCGACGGCATGGTGCGCGACGCCGCCAAAGCCACGGTCATCGAGCTGTTCCGCGGCGCGCCCAGCGCCGCCAAGACCGACCTCAAGAAGCAGCTCAAGAACTTCAAGGTGCGGCCTGCCATTGAACAGGCCATTGTCAAGGAGCTGGCGCCCACCGGCGCCTCTTCTGCGTCGTCGTCTGCCGTGGCGGAGCCTGCCCCGCGCCCCGACTCCGCACGCGCCGTGCGGCCCCAGGCTCCTCTGTCGACGGCCTCGAGCTTTGCCGCCAGCGTCTCGTCTCTCAGCGAGCGGCCCATCACGCCCATGCCCGACGTCAGCCGTGCCGAGTCCGTCGAGCCAGCGTACGTCAACACGCAGCGCGAGCTCGACGACATTTTTAAGGAGATGCACGTCTGGTTCGAGGGCAAGGAGACGGAGCAGAACTGGCTGAAGCGCGAGGAGAGCGTCACACGGCTGCGCCGTCTTCTGGCCGGAAACGCTGCCGACTATGCCGACGCCTTTTTGAACAACGCCCGCGCGCTGCTCGACGGCATCATCAAGGCCATCGTCACCCTGCGCACCAGTCTGTGCAAGGAGGGCTGCAGTCTGATTCAGGACATGGCCACGACGTTCGGCCCCGGCATCGACCCCATGGTCGAGATTCTGCTGCAGACGCTTGTCAAGCTGTCTGCGGGCACCAAGAAGATCAGCTCGCAGCTGGCAAACACCACCGTCGAGGCCATCATCGCCAAAGCCACATACAGCACACGCATCCTCCAACACGTCTGGGGTGCGTGCCAGGACAAGAATGTCCAGCCGCGTACCTACGCGTCGGGCTGGGTCAAGACCATCATCACCAAGGAGATGCACCACAAGAACCATGTGGAGCACTCGGGCGGCTTGGACCTGATTGAGAAATGCATCAAGAAGGGCCTGCTGGACCCCAACCCCGGCGTGCGTGAGCGTATGCGTGCCACCTACTGGTGCTTTGCCGGCGTCTGGCCAGCACGGGCCGAGGTCATCATGACTGGCCTCGATAGCACGGCCCAGAAGCTCCTCCAAAACGACTCGAACAACCCCAACTCGCCCAAAAAGCCCGAGGGCGCGGCCGCCGACAAGGCGCGTCCTGGCCTGGGTTTCTCCAAGAGCACGACCGGCGCGTCCAAGCCCTCGCTGCGCGAGGCGATGCTAGCCAAGAAGAAAGAAACGCTGGCATCGCGCCACCTCCCTGCACGGCCTGGGTCGGCCATGGCTCATTTCTCGCCGGTGCGGACCGTCTCCGGCTCATCCAATGCCTCGGCTTCGTCGTCAGCGGCCCCGTCATCAGGGACGGCAGAGGCCAAGTTTGGTCGTCAGCGCGGCGAAGGTGGTCTGTCAGTTGCGCCCGTGCGGCCCACGCGGCGGAGGCCCGAGCTGCATGCGCGGCCGGCCACGGCGGGCCCGTACTCGGTGCGCACACACGACCATCCGTCGGCCGAACATTCCAGTCCTCCAGAGCGGCTGCGCTCCAAGGCGGCGATCACACCGAAAACGCTGGGCGCCTCTCCTAAGCGGACAGGGCCAGGCGCCGTGCCAGGACCGCGAACCCGGCCAGGCCACCAAACCACGGCGAGCGACTCAAACCTGCTGACGCCGTCTCGCGCAGTTGCCGCACCGCCTGTCACCAAAACCGCCGCTGGCGGGGCGCACAGACCCGGCGCGACGGCGACAGCATCGTCTCCACGAACCAGCCCGGCGAAGCCCAAGCCTGGCGCAGTTCGCGGTGTAGCAGGTCATAAGGCGACGCATGCTCCCCCAGCCTCGACGAGCCCGTCGCGGGTTCGCAACAAGCCCGCGCATGCACCCGAACCGGTGCCGGAAGCCGAGCCAGAACCAGAGTTAGAAATCATGGAGAAGGCCCCTGAAGTCGAAATCGAACTCCCTCTGGAGCGCTCTGCTACACCCACGTCCCCCACACCGACCAAGCCTGCAGCGGCAAGAAAAGCAGCCCCTGCTGCCGGTCCCGCCCCCGTGGACGACGACGATGCCTTGAGTGCCATGGTCATGTCACCACCGCTTAAGGTGTATGAGGATCCTTTCTCGGAAGACCAGTCCACGGCCACTCCCACGGCGACAATCTTTGCACCTACGGTGCTAGAAGACAGACCGGTCAACGAAGACGCGGGCAACCTGGCCCGGCTGCCGGACGAGGGTGCCGGTTTGGCTGTAGCGTCGACCATGTCTGCTGACGCTGCTTCCGCGACGACAACCACCGACACAACACGGCTGGAGCCCACTGCCTCGCCCGCTCTGTTCCCATCATTACCGGAAAAGGCAAAGCAGAACGCGCGGCTACTCGACAGCGGCATTGCCAAGGTCAAGGCCCAGGCCCTGGACGTGCACGGCTTCCGCAAATTGCAGGGCATCATCCGGGAGGCCAGCAACTCGGCCATCAGCAACGGCATGACAACAAAGACGGGCGCGGCCGCACTCTTTACGGACGAGCGGTTCGACGCTCTGCTGCTCGGCCTCTTTGCCTACCTCGAGTCGCCCGTGACCAACGTGCCGCCCGAAAAGGTGCAGGACGTCAAGGCGCAGATCCTGGCGACGATCAAGCTGCTCCTCAAGAAGTCCCGCGACAACTTCCAGCCGCACATCTCGCGCGGCCTCGAGGCCCTGCTCGCGGCGCGGGCCGGGTACGACGCGCGCGCCCACATGGTGGCCGGGCTGGAGCTGCTGGCGGACGAGCTGGTGACGTTGGGCGACGCGGCCGAGATTGCGCTGGTCCTGACACGGGCGCTGACGGACCAGAACGACGGCCCGCACGGCGCTGCCGGTCCTGTGCCTCCCGGCAAGGTCAAGGCCATCACCTCGCCGCACTCGCTCAGCATGGGCCTCCACGTGCTCAAGGTGCTTGTGGACGCGCGCCCGGACTTTTACCCGACAGACACGGAGCTGGCACAGCTGTCGGGCCTCGCGCAGCGGTGCATCGAGAGCAGCGAGTCGGGCGTGCGCATGGACGCGGTGCAACTGTGCGTCGCCATGCATGAGCGGGTAGGCGATGCCCGGTTCTGGGGCGCGCTGCGAGGTGTCAAAGACGACCCGAAGTCGCTCATTACATACTACATTGTGAAACGACAACGGGAGCAGTCCGTGTGAGGCTGTCAGTCAAGGGGGGGGGTTGATAAACGGGACAGGTGTACTTTTATTTGTCTGCAAAAATAGGAATATTTTTGTGTACATGGGGCCACATTGTTTCCAGTTTCCTGTATTTTTATTTTCTTTCTGTTTCTTTTGTCTTTTTTTCCTGATTTCTTTTTATTTTTTCATTTTTTTCATTTTTTTTTAGTCTTCGTCTTACTTTTCATTTATTTCGTATGATTACCTCTGTTCCATTTTCTTTTGTAGTGACTAATTGTAATATCTATTTTACTTTGTTAAAAAAGATTCTGCTTTCACAACACCTTCCCAGAAAGAGAGAAAACCGTTTGTCATCCCTTCGGTCGTCTTTTCAGTCTTCGTCATTGTTTTATTATTTTCTATATGCACCTCTTCGTTATGCAGAAAAGCTCACCGTCTGCAATTCGTCTGCCCGCGCTCTTCGGGACGACGTGAGATCCTCTCGGTTATGCAGTCTCCATTGGACATGTCCTATCAAGCTACAGCTTCCTCTGGGTATGGACGTCGCGTACGATGGTCTCTCTCAGGTCACTTGCCGCATCCCAACGTATTCTCGGACGGTTGTGACTGGGGGGAAACACTTTCAAGATTGCTGTAACATATCTTATATTACGTTGTATTCCAGAGTGGCTGAATTGCGGAGCTTTTGTATGTACACAGGGCTGCGGAAACGGAAATACAAAGTGAAATGTGAAATGCAAAAGGGAGGAAAAAAAAAAAAGGTTGCAATGGCGGCCCGCGCGCCCTGGCGAACAGACACTGACGGACCAGCGGTCGCCAAAGGTGATCCCGCAGAATGCTGTCGACGATCAAGTGGGCTTCTGGATTTTATATGTTGTATTTACTGAATACCTGGGGTGGGGGGGGGTGTTGTTCCATTGCATCGTCAGCCTCGTTCTTTCCCCGACGTCTTCGCCCCTTCCCCTTCCTTCCCCCGTTTGTCTATTGCCATCCGCACCTGCCGTTCCTTTCTTCTGATGTCCTGCCGTTTCGGAGAGAAAATCACGCAGGCGAAAGCCCGTCATTCCCAGCAGAAAGAATGGCCCTGGCTGTTCGTGTCCGTTCCTGCCCGATCAAGTCAATGCGAGGCGAGACGGGCGATCATCCGTCGGCTTCTGGAAAAGAAAACAGCATGTGTGCGAACACGAAGCTCGTTGGTCGTCAAACACAGGAACCAGAGGACAAACAAAAAGGGGGGCCACTCTTTGCGGATCGACCCAGGGGTCCGACGGGCCCTGGCCATGTTCACTAAACAGGCCAGCAGCCACTCAGGTTCCTTCCAGCCCCTTGCACTGAGTACGCTGAACAACCGCTAGCGCAGGCACTAGTGTTGCAGCCCAGGCACAGGGCCAGAAGAGGAAGCTGCCAGGACGGAGTGAGGAAGGCGGGAGCGTCAGCTCAAAAGGACTACGGAGTACGATGTACGGAAGTACTCAAAGGCCACCCAAGAACAAAAACCACCAAATAACAAAAAAAGAACCACAGTTGCGACACGTTGGTCAATACCACTCTACCTGAAACACCGAGCGGGCTGCAGGGACAGCCCTGCCATAGTTTGCGCGCGACGCGCCTTTGTGGAGTCTTGAAGGCCGCACAAAACACTGTTACTTGTGGCTGTCTGAGTGCAACAGTCGAATTGGCTGTGTCCTCTCTGTTGTCACGTTTGTCCAACTGCATCGGTGGCTTTACGACGTATTACTGGGTTGTGAGTGTGACGGTTGATGTAGCTGACACTTTGGCAGGCAATTTGTTGCAAGGCTGAACGCCAACTTTTCGTGTCTCGTCATTCCGTTTCCGCCCCTTTCTATCCTTTTGATCTATCCACAAAAGCAAAGCGAAACAGGGCGAACTGGCAACATCCAACTCAGAAGAGGTGTCTCAGAGCCTTTCCCACCCACATGTTCTCTTCCTGCACAATCTAGCTGCTCTTGGGCAGCTCGCTGACGCGGTCCTCAAAGGTCTTCTGGGCACGCGTCCACACGCCCTCGGTCTGGCGCTTGTCGAGCGTCAGCAGGCTCGGCAGCAGCAGCTGCGAGAACTCGTCGCTCGACTCGCGGGCCACCAGCGTCGGCAGGTGGTCAATGGCAATCACGCGCAGCTCGGGGCCGTCGACGGCCTGCGAAACGGGCACCGTCGGGCTGGTGAAGGAGCTGTAGGTCGAGTACAGGGGGATCGGGTTGTTGGCGCTGTTGGGGTCGCAGCTGACATCGCAGATGACACGCAGCCGGCGGTTGGCGCCGGCGGCTGCCAGCGACTCGAACGTGACAAACGGCGGGATGCGCGCCGCGCCCAGATACACGCAGTTGATGAAAATGTCCGACGTGGCCACCTCCTCAAAGGGGCCGCCCCGCTTGGTCTCGGGCAGGTCCCACTCGAGAATGTTCTCCTTGGGCAGGCCGGCCGCCACACAAAAGTCGCGGGCGCCCTTGCCGCAGCGGCCCAGCGCACCAATGACAATGGCACGGGGCAGCTCGCCCTTGTTGGCGGCAATGGCTGGCGCCATGGCGGCCTTGACATGGTCGGCCAGCGCCGGGGCGCTGTCGAACACGGGCACGGCGCTCTGCGGGGTGCCCGGGCGCAGGATCTGGTGCGCCCAGGCGAGCAGGGCAATGGCAGTGCCGGCGTAGCCGGCCCAGTAGCCAAACGCAGCCACGCGGCGGCCATTCGGCTCGACGAGGAACTCGAGATCGTACAGCCGGCCATTGCCGCGCGCGAAGCGCGAGAGGGCCTCGGCCCAGCCGTCCTGCTTCTTGAAGCAGTGCTGGAAGTGGATGTAGTTGTGCGGCAGCGGCGTGTCGCCGTCGGTGATTTCCTTGAGGCCGAGGATGATGTGGTCGGTGGGGGCGTTGACCCAAGTGCCGGCCGGCACCATCTCGGCGCCGACGGCCTCGTACTCGCTGTCCTTGTAGATGCGGTCCGACGAGCGCTCAATGTGCAGCACGTAGCCGGCGTCGAGCAGAGCCTTGGCCGATGCCGGCGACACTGCAGACGGATGGTGAGCTTCGGGCCAAAGATAAGGGAACACACGCCAGCACGATGGTGGGGAATTGCAAGAGGAAAAACATACACGGCGAACGGCGTTCTAGCGGCTTGGTCTCGGCTCTGAGGTGAATAATTGTCGGTGCCATTGTGATGGTTGACGTGATTATGTGGTGTTTAGTTGGAAAAAGGAGAGGAACAAAAAGACGAACTGGACCAGAAAGAGACGGGAAGCTTTTGCCAACAGTGGCGGTGATGTATGACACACAGCCGACGCAGCTCGAAAAAATCTCAATTGCAGGTGAATCACACCTCAGAGGTGGACTTAGCCCGAATTAGGAAATGACTAATCTGCATTGGGCTAGCGGGTCAAGCAGCATGTTTCTGTTCCTGTTCCTGTTCCAAGCCTAACTGTGAGGTGCGTCACGTGATACAACTCACCAACAGTCGACCGCCTGTTGCAATTAACATCTCAGCACACCGACGGTACGCATAGTTGGGGTAAAGTACGTGTATATTCCTGTCTTCCGCGGTCTTGTTTTCTTGTTTCTGACGCCCAAGTTCCGCGGAATGGGGAGGGCCGGCAGCGCCGCAGTTACGCGTTGGCACCCGACACGGTTGGCAGCAGATAAACGAGGTCAATTTCCTGCTGGGCGCTAGGTACTCTAATTTATTCAGATAGAGATGAAGACACAACGGGCGACGGAGTGCGTACGACGGAGCACGTACGACGTAGAGCATGGCGTCCATCGAGTGCCTGACGGACGCATGAGGCTGGATAGGGCGGCTGTGAGGAGCTGACGAATGCAGTTGTTCCTGCCCTGGTTGAATTTGCGGAGACGTTCCTGCCTTCCGGCTGTCAAATAAACCGCCTCTTGCCTCTTGCCTCTGGCCACTTCCCATTCCTCGCCTGTGGATCCATCGCTCTTCAGCTCCAGGGCCGTGTGCTGGTCGCTTGTTTTGGAAACGCCCGCCTGTTCCCCCCCCTTCCCTAGCGCACATCCAAAAGGGCATACCCACCCGCTTCCACACCCACCACACCCCTGGCGGCAAACGACCCCTATCCAACGCGCAGCGCCAGCGCCTGTCGCACGGCCTGCCTCGCTAATACGACCTTCTCCAGTTCTGCATCCACACTAGGCCGGTCGTGATATTCGCGCCTCGTCTCTGCAGCTTTCCTTTCCCTCCTTTCTCTCGTTTCGTTCCCTGCCTCTTCTCCACGCCACGTTAGTGTTTTGTTTCTATTTCTTGGCTCTCCATTATTGTTTCCTTTGTTGTTTCTGCAGCATCGTGCCACATGGGGGTTTCGGGCCCTCGACTCTATCCCGACCTCTCATCACGTTTCCCTTCCCGTTTTCTCTGTCCTGCACCGTACCGTACTCGATATCCTGCCTTATATGTTGTGTATTCGCATCTGTACCTGCTTGAACCATATTTTACCCCTTTTCTCTCTTCTCCTCGCAGCATGCAAGTTGTACAGTAGCCTGCAAATCAGATACTGACTCCTGCTCGTGCATGCTGCATCGTACATCGTACAGTTTCCAACCCTGGCCTGGCCTCCGTCTCCTGCGTCCTGTCTCCCATCTGCTGTCGCCAATTCAACTGTATACTGTACGACGGATGGAGATACCTGTTAGTCTGGTTACGCCAGGAATACTGTTGTACCCGGCGTTGCTTGGTCTCCCTTTTGTCACTGTGCTGCTCTTATTTCTCGTCTTCCAACCTCTGTATAATGCCAACCGTTTCGCCTCTATCACGGTGATAGAAGCCGATAGCCGCCACTCGATCCTGTTTCTGTTTCTGATTTTGTTTTTATGTTTTATTTTTTGTTTCTGTTTCTCTTCTCCTTCTTCTGTCCTCGTCCAACCCCTGTCACACTGCATTTCGCTGTTGTACCTCTTGGCGGTGCTGTCCATATTTTGCCCATCTTTGCCCTTTTGGTGCTGCATCCCTACCGAATCTCGTCTCTGCTCTTGCATGTCTCGACGACGCACTCTTGTCAGCCCCTGCTCTGACTAGCTTGGTTTGCAATGGTTGCGGTTGTCCACTCACACCCAGGGCCTGACATGGGCCACCCAAAACTGTTGACCTCCTAAGACGTATCTTAACTGTCGTAACCCAGATACTTGGGCGTAAAAATTCTGTATTCAACACTTGGCCAGGCCACGCCTGTCCTGGTTGTCTGCCGCCGAACTTCGTCGTCTGTTTATATGTATCTAGCCCTGCGGAGCATCCATAGAGCATCGTACTCTATAATTCATACATGCATCGACGTGAAGTATTGTCTGTTCCGCCCGTCTGTTGATGTCTTTGCATCTTCCCAAACGGCACCTTCTGGTCCACCCTCGCCAAACTCCTGCGTCGTATTGACACCTGTTGAAGATTATCCACGAAGCCCACCGCCATCTGTACTGAACCACCACATTTCTTGGGCTCCAAATGCTGCTACCCCTGCCTTACTCCACATCGCCTCCCAACTCACTTTCCCAAGCTCCATCCATATCGGTCTCGCTCTCCCCTCTCTCCCCTCCATTCCTCGTCCCCCCTTTCAACCTTGAACGGAAGCAGTATTTCTACTCTTGCCGTCCGTCGACCATTGCACCACCGCCCCATACAGCAGTCCGCACTCCCGCAGCCCAACGGCCGCTAGCACTGGCAAAACACCCTATTGCGCTCGTATTTGTCCCAAAAGACCGCCATATTCGCCCTGGGAGCGCCCAGAAGTCGTGGTTGGTGTGAAACCCACCACAACCACCAGAACCACCAGACCTTTTGTGCTAATCTGTGTCGTAAATACCCCTGGCTAGAAGAGTCTTCTCTCCCTCGCCCGTTGAATTACCAGTAATACTGTCTGTTCGTATCGTATACGCCCCTAGGGTCCAATGAATCACCCGTGAACTTGGGCTGGTCCACTGTAATTCTTTACTAGTGCCTGTCCACCTGCTAATTTACACCTGTAAACGGGGATGGCGTTGGCGGTGTTGATGCTCTCGAAACGTCCAATTTCTTAGTGTGTGCCCCTGGTTGCTCTTTCCAACCCTGTCGACCCTGGACCGCTCTTTCTCTCATCGTGCCCATGCCGCAGTCCACTTCTTCCATTCTCTTGATTACCCACCATCCGCGCCTGCCCTCATATTCCACTCCCACTTTCCCACACGCCCACGCACGTTGTCTGAGTCCACACCAGCACCTTCCACGTCCACGTCCTCGTCCACGTCCCTTGTCCCTCGCTCCTGCCGTCCGCCGCCCACCGTGCGTGTGTGCGTACTTGCCCACCCAACCCTGCGTTGCGCCCTTCTCGCCCGAAACGTCGCCGCGACTTTCCACGACGCTTCATCACGAAATTTCTCTTTCTACATACAATCCTTTTTTTTCTCCTCACTCGCTCCCCATCTCCCATCGCGCCACGACATGCGGATAGCGGCTAACTGGTTCGGCTCAGAGTCCCATCGCGCCCCGAGCATTTCCCTCCCGTGGCTTGCTTTGTCGTTTCTTTTTTCTTAGGCGGAACCCCATCTTTCATTCCTGTTTCTTTTGCAAAGGCTCTGGCCTCATTTTGTTCTGTGCTGGCGGTCTTCTTTCCTCTACGACGTTTCATCTTTGCCTCTTTTTGCTTCTCTTTCTCTTTCGCTGGCTATACCTTGGGCTCTCGAACCCGGCCTGCATTTTTTTGGAATCTCTTGTTTTCGCCTCCCTCCGTCTCACTGCCGCTGTTTTCAGCCTCACTACGCATCATCCCTTCCGAACCCATTCAACGTGCACAGTTCTCCGTATCTCTGCTCTTCGTTCTCCTCCATCCTAACGTCGCTTCTTTCTTGCCTCTACGACATCCTTCTCTGGGCAGTATCTCGCGTGCCGCCAAAGCCAGCTTTCTGGGTGTCATATCTCGGACACGCAAGCCGTTCTTTCGGCAGCATCGATCATTGCGCACGCCACGTTCGTCTTCCCATGGTCGTTCCACGGCCGCTCTGTGCCGTTTCGACCACTCTCTGTCGCGACTGTCGACATCATTCCTGATCGCATCTACCTACCGCGTTCTATCTTTGTGGGGTCGCGCGGGGCCTTATCCTCCCACGGCCTCTTATAAATCATGGCGGCCCTAGACGAATACCTGGACAACACAATGGAGGCCGACGACATCTTCCCCTGCAAGGGTTGCGGCGAGATTCTTGAGGAAGGCAAAGCCTTTGAGCTTGGTAAGTCGACTCGACTGTAGCGTCTTTGTCGTATTCGTCTGATAGTTGAACCACGAACTAACCACTCCCATGACAGCCGGCCATAGGTGGCATCTCAACTGTTTTCGCTGCAACTCCTGCGGTACCCTCCTCGACTCCGACGCCAACCTCCTCCTCCTCGGCGACGGCTCGCTCATCTGCAACAACTGCACGTACAGCTGCAGCGCATGTGGCAACAAAATCGAAGACTTGGCCATCCTGACGGGCGAACAGGCCTTTTGTGCTACCTGTTTCCGCTGCCGGAACTGCAAGCGCAAAATCGAGAACCTACGCTATGCTCGCACGTCCCAAGGCATCTTTTGCATGAGCTGCCACGAGTCTCTCATGGCCCGTCGTCGGAAAAAGCACAAAGCCGCCGCGCAGGCCAAAGCGCGAGAAAAAGACGGCTCACCAATGATCACAGACAAGTCGTTGCCTGCCCTGCCACCCCAGACGCCCACGGAACTCTCGCCACGCCCCAGAGTGCCCTACCCACGAAACGAACCCTCGTCCCTCAGCAGCAGCATTCGCCCAGACCGGTCTCCAGAACGTTCGTCGACGGATGCCCCGCCCAGCGGCACGAGAGACAGTTTGACCGGCTCCAAACCTTCGCTCACCCTACCGCCGTCCAACTACCGCAACAACCGCAGCTCTGCCATATTTGGCGGCAACGTCGACCTAGGCGCGAGCGATACCGAGTCCTTCTTCATCCCTGTGGCCCTCGATCCTAGTCCCGGCCTTTCCGCCACGCCTCGGTCTGTATCTGACTCGCTGTCCGACCCCAAGAAGGGAAAGGAGCGGTCGGATTACTTTTCAGACGGCAAGAGCGGCGACTCGCAAGCCTCGACACCGCACATCGCCTTCCAGGAGAAGGCTATCCCGCCAGGCTCAACCGCTACACCCGACTACGACAGCAGTGGCACGACCTCCAAAGACTTGCTTTCGCGCAAGCTGTCAAAGAACTCGAGAACGGATCGCAGCGTCTTGTCTTCCGGCACCAGCAGCGCCGGCGAAGACCACAAGCACGCCGCGCCGTCCAAAGGCCGCGGCGAAGAGTTCAAGTTGCAGGAGGCGCCTAAGAGCAAGAAAGCAACGGCAAACTCGCGGACTAATTCACAAGCGAACAACTCACTCGGAAACGCCCTTGAGTTTGACACGCCTAAGGCGTCTCGGCGGGACAAGGAGAACACGGCGTCGCCGCCTGCTTCGACGTCGGCATCGAGCATCGGTGGCCGCTCATCGCAAGACACGCGGCAGGCGCAGGACGGCGATGAGTACCCCGATTCGAGCGGCCTGACAACCCCCACCAGCCGGCCGAGCCAGAGCAGCGACCAGCATGTCCGTGGAGGTCCCATCTCAAGAAAGGAGCTGCCGGCCTCCGCCCGTACTGGTAAGACCAACACCGTCATTTCCCCATACCTTTCGCATTTCTTATTTGCATTCAACATACTAACACCCCATCTCTGTCCAGTCAATGGCATGCCTATTTCAAGTCCCCTCGGCAAGCCATCGCCTGCAGACGAGATCCCGCAGCCTGCGCTGGCACCTCCGCCTGTTCCTCGCCCCGCTATGCAGGAACACAAGTTGAGTGACACCTACATGCAGCCTCGTGCGCCACCCGTCCCACCAACCGCTGCCCCTGCTCCCCCGATTGGGTCGTTTCACACACCGAGCAATGAGTCTGTGGCCAGCAGCACCGTGTCAAGCAGCGAACCTCAGTCGCCTCCCAAGGGCCCGTCACCTAAACTCCCGCGCTGGAGCAACGGTGGCGACTTTAGCATGGACGAAGACATGGCCCGCATACTTGGCACCGATGAGAGCTCCTCTTCCATTCTCCGCCGCGTTTCGAACGCCGTCCGGCACGGCCGCAACAGCAGCGCCGAATCAAGCAACCTGAACCACGGCAACGGCATCTCGCCGCGCGGCCACAACCGCAGTCTCAGCGAGACCACCCGTGCCACTGCATCGCCGCGCTGGCCCAAGACACCGATTGTCGAAGACTCGGGCGCCCGCGACATCAGCAGCCCCATCTCGCTGTCGGGAGGTGCCACCCAGGAGGACCCGGCCCTGCTCAAGCGTCGTCTACGCAACTCAGAACAGAGAGTGGCTGAGCTGGAGCGCCAGTTTGGTGCCGAGAAGGATCTCAAGTCCCTCAACAAGAAGCTTTTGGAGAAGCGGCGCACAGTCTCCGTACTGGACACCCAGGCCGAGATTATGATTCGCCAGCTCGAGGCGCTGGCCGGCTACGTCGAGCGCGCCAAGACGACGAAGCAACCCATCGACGCCAAGGAGCTCGAGGACTCAGCCATCAAGGACTTTGTGCAGAGGCTGAACGAGCTGCAAAGTACCATGGCCGTGACGATTGAGCAGCTTCATGCGGAACGCGACGCGCTGATCGAGGAGAAGAACCAGGCGGTGGCGAACCGCGACCGTGCGCTGCTCGAGTTCGAACAGCTGTCGTCCAAGAACGCCCAGTTGGCTGACATGAACAACGACCTGACACACCAGATCCAGGAGCGCTTCAAGTCCCAGGTTGGCCCCGAGCAGGCCAAGTCGCCCAACGGCCTGGGCATCTACCACAGTCACAAAGGCCCTTCGATCTCGTCGATGAACCTGGACACAGCCAGCATCCAGACGTCGACCAACGCCACGCTGATCGGCACGGATGGCGAGGAGCCGATTGTCGAGTCCGGTCCGACGGTCGTAAACATCCGCAAGGGCCAAGTGCGCAAGTTCAACTGGAAGAAGGGCTCCAAGACGGTGGCCCAGAACCTGACCAAGGGTGTCAACCGCGCGGTCGGCGCCTTCCAAAACGACCGCGAGCAGCAGCGGGGTGGTCCATACCAGGGCTTGACGGGCGATAGCATTGGCCTGCCGTACAACATGACGGTGGCCTCTGTCGACTCGCCGACTGCCTTTGGCGCCCAGACGGCGCAGCAGATCAACCGTGGGCCTGGTGATTTTGGATCCACGGGCAGCGGTGTTGGTGGCGCCGGTAGCAGCGGTGGTGTCGGCGGCCGTGGCATCAGCGGCCCCATTTCCGGTCCCATTCCCGGTGGAGTGTCCGGTGGCGCGAGCGGTCCTGGCAATGCCAACGGCGGGTTTGGCTTCTTCTCCAAGAAGTCGGGCGTACCCAAGTCTGGTACAGCTGCCAGCCTAATGAACAAGGAAGGCCCACCTGTGGCGGAGTCACCGAGCACGCTGTTCGGCTCCGACCTCGTCGAGCGTGCTGACTACGAGCGCCGGCAGATCCCCAGTGTCGTGACGCGCTGCATCGAGGAAGTTGAGCTGCGCGGCATGGACATCGAGGGCATCTATCGCAAGACGGGCGGCAACTCGCAGGTCAAGGCGATCCAAGAAGGGTTCGAGAAGCAGGAGGACTACGATATCTCGGACCCGGGTCTCGACATCACAGCGGTGACAAGCGTGCTGAAGCAGTACTTCCGCAAGCTGCCCAACCCGCTGTTGACGTTTGAGGTATATGACAGTGTGCTGGAGTCGATCAGTAAGTTGCAGTTGCCTTTCCGGACATGCAGGAAACACACGAATAGCGTCGTGCTAACAAACCAGACATTGTGGACACCACAGAGCGCTGTGCCCACCTGCGCAGGACATTCAACACGCTGCCACCCAAGCACCGCGATTGTCTTGAGTTCCTCATGTTCCACCTTGCCCGTGTTGCCAACCGCGAACGCGAGAACTTGGTACGTCTCTGGACGCCATTTCCGGGTCCCTCTACTGAAAAAGCATTTCTAACTGATGATAGATGCCTCCCAAGAACTTGGCAGTGGTGTTTGCACCGACTATTCTCCACACCGAGAACCTGGAGAGAGAAATGTCCGACATGCACTCCAAGAACCTCTCGATCCAGTTTGTCATTGAGAACAGCCACTCCATCTTTTCCGAAGCATGAGGAGCGACACACGTCCGCACTTTCGACTCACTCGGCCCACTCTCCCTGCTCGTGTACATATTGTAAAAGCGTGTATTTGTTTATTGTGACTGTGTTATTCTCCTGGGATTCACTTGTGATTTTGAGATCCTCATGGCGTTTTTCTGGGCCGTTTATATCGTTTCGACCCCCCCGCCGACCATTTGGTGTTTCCTTTTTGGTCTTTCTGAAACGTTTGCTATTATTCCTCTACTTTTCCTACGTCATTGGACTTGTCGAAGCGTTTACGACGACGAATCTGTTTGGGATGAGGGGACTGGGTCGTTACTTTGGACCGTACACAGCCCCCTATTGTGTACAATCCCCACGCTCACCTTTTTGCTTTCTCGCGCTTGGCCTCCCCTTTGAGGGCGGGCAAGCATGTTGTTTTTTTCGTTCAATGACAGGACATTTAATGATATCCGTTTGCTGTTTTTCTCTTTGCAAAGATCAAGTCTATACTATAGTTTAAAATGCAAGTTTGTGTGAGCTTTGCTAGACGATTCCCTTGACGCTTTTGATATCCGTGCTATGCTAAGGTAGAAACAATGGCAAAATAGTATGTATACAAGAAAGAAACAAATGTGCCCAGACAGTCCGTTATTTCCCCATCATCTTGCGCACTCGGTCGAGCAGCACTCCACTTTCGCGACCGAGTTTCCGCCGCTGGTTGTCTCCGCCACCGCCGCCGTTTCGACCGCCTTTGTGTGTATCCACCCGCCGTGCCTTGGCCATGGCCTTTTGGTGCCGTGCCCGCCGCGCCCGCGCCTCTTCACGCTCAGCTGCCCTGCGCGCAAACTCCGCCTGTCGTGCTTCGGCCTCGGCCTTTTTCTGTGCCGCCTCCTCTTGGGCTTTCTGGAAGAAGGACTGTGGCCGTTTCGCCGGCCGGGCCCCAGGGCCGCGCTGTGGACGCTGTCGCTCGGCCGGCTTGTCGTCCCGTCCACTCCCACCCGCTTCCTCTGTGTCGTCGATGCGTGCTTGACGCTCAGGGTGCATGGATGCGGGTGCCGCCACTGCCGCCGCCTCCTCCTCACCGGCTACTTGTTTTGATGCTGCCTTTCCATCCTCCGCCGCCAGCGCCCGCGCCTTCACTTTTGCGTACGTCTGCAGCGTCTTGGCCCGGATCACGTTGGACTCCTTGGCACGCTCGAGCTTCCGGCGCCAGGCATCGTCCGAGGTGGGCAGCGCGGCGCGGATGCCGGTGCGGGAGCGCTTGGCCTTGTGGGGTGCGGCGGCACTGCTGCCTGCGTCGTCGGCGGATCGTTTGCCCATTGTATTTGTGGGTGTGAGGTGAGGCTTGTGGTTGCAATAGAGTGGGTGCAGGTGGTCGATGTCCAGGTGCCGTTGGACACGCTGTGCAGACACTCCGCGACTTTTTTTTTGGCAGTCGCGATAAGACGGGACTTATCGATAGGTATGGTCCCACCCATTAGGGGCTGTCTTCTGTTGCCACAGGCGGCTTTGGCGGCAATGCCCCCAAATAACGCCCAATGTCCCGTATTTTAGGTGCCAGTTTGCCTGCAAGAAGGATTCCTCTCGACGACACTATGTTCGTCTCCCCAACTTAGTCTCCTGGCCGCATTTACTATTTTAGACTCCCATCTTATTTATACAGTCCTCTTTCTACCGGCAGTAAAAGGCGGCCAGCTTTTTGTGGCGTCTCGCTTGGGGTGTTTGCAGGCCTTTTGGGCCTTATTAACGAGCCAACCGTACAGGTGCATGTTTAGCGTACTTTGGCTTGGCTTGAGGCTTCTTTCAGCACCATACACAGCAGGTTCAAAGGTGGTGCCATGAAGAAACCCGATCTTTGTTTCGTGTTTTAAATGGGGGCCAGACCCACTGACTTTTAATGGGCGGTCTCGCGGTAATTCGTAATGGGTCAGATAGTGCTCAACAGTGAATTGTTTCAGTGCCAATTGGGTGGGTGCTTGTGGGGCACTTTCCGTTTTGATGCGTGCACCTTTTGCCAGCAAAATCTTTGAGTCACACTGTTCAACTGGCAGTGGCGTTACAGCAAGTAGGGCACACGAGAGACAGTGGACTGAGGAGCGGTTGCCACTTTTGAGTCGCTTCTGCATAACCATGCTCCGTGCCTTCCTTAGATTGACTGACGGGAGGGCGTTAAACCAATATTTGAGTCGGTTGGGGCAGTTGGTGGTCGCTTCCCAAACATAGTACTTATTGTACGCATGACCAAGTTTGCTCCTGCCGGTGTTGGGCTTGCTTCTGCTTCTTGCACCACTCCGCAAGCTAAACCAGTTTGCCCTGACGTCAATAAAAGCAGATGAGCGAGCGTCACGCCTTCCTCTTTGACCAGTCCTAGTGGGCCACAAACCCAGGCCTTCCTCCTCCTCTGCTCCTGCCTGTCCAGGTCGTACCGTCCAGTCGTTGCTTCCTCACTCCCCTGCGATGCAACACCACTCAATTCTCGTCCTACTTCTATTCCCTCTTCCTCTCTTTTCATAACATCCTCTCCTCACATCTACTTATTTTTATCTCAACTGCATCCCGCATATCCCGTCATTGCCCTTCAGGCGTTGGCCATCGCCCATTGTCTCATGAACGACCTTCCTTTTCTCCCAAGCGCTCTCCACTTTCGTTCTCCAGAACGACCATAACGCCGAAACCGGTCCGGCGCCATTATCTCCACCAACGATGCCATTCACAGCCGTTCACAGTTGACCGCTGCTTCGTTAGGCTGGCTTTCCCTGCATACACCTGCATGCAGACGCAGCTGCCCATGCACAACCGACAGTAGAGGCCGCACCTAACCACCGGCTGCACAGACAAAGGACCACGGGCAGAGCTATCCTTTATTGCAAGATCGATAGCCGTAACGGACGCTGTGCTGTTTCGCTTGGGCTCGAAAACGTGATCTTCACTCTCATCTTCACATACAACCTGGTGGTTCTCACAAGCATTCACTCCGGCATATGCTATTGCCCTCGCGTGTTCAAACGGCCTTTTAACTCGACAACTCGCTACGCCTCAGCTTCTCACAGAACGATTTCCAGCATGATCTGAGTATCACCACACCAGACACTGTCCTTATCTTTCCACCAGTCACCAATATCTGTTTGACTTTACTGCTTGATCCTCCCCGTCTGAGCCGGAGACGGGGATCGGATTACCAGGCAGCTGAATCTCGCCTATTTCGTCTCCTTCGCTCTCGTCCAAAATCGATCCCTGAAGTCTGAGCTCCCACCAGGGCTCCCTGACAACATGCCGATGTTTGAGGATACGATGGAACTCGCCCAAAGCGGCGAGCTTCCTCCAAAGGAACCGTCTCCACCGCCACGGCCGTCACCTCCCTCCGAATCCGAACGTGTCAGCACTCCCTCAAAACCCATCTCCATTCCCACATCTCCCTTTGTGTCCCGTAGGATGTCCGAAGAGAGCATACGGACCGACTTGTGCGAAGGCCCGCTCCCTGACACTCCGTCACCCCTGCCTCGATCGTTTGTTTTACAGCCTTCGCCGGCCTCCGACGCCCAGCACGGCTTTGCTGACCCATCCCCGCCCCGCACACCGCCCAGTCGAGATGCCTCTGAACAGGTCACCGATCGTGCGGAGCTAATCGAAAGGATCAAGCGAGGCGAGAGCCCGACTTGGATCCCAAACCGACATGTGAGTGTTTCTCTGTACTGTCAACAGGCTCCTGATTCAGGATACCTTTTGCTAATACTCTTCCGCGCAGATCGAGTCAATGTATCACAAGCGGACTCCTACTCAAAGTCCCAGGCCTCCATCGGCAGACATAATAACGTCAACGACGCTGCTTCCTGCGGCCGATATCACCCCTGAACGGATTCCATTAGAGGCACACGACCACAACGCCGAGGCTGCCGCCAGACTGGAAGACGGCCTGAATATCGAACGGCCACGGTCGGCTTTGCACAGCGGCGATTTCACTCAGAGCACGTCCAGTAGACGCCAGGCCCGAACGTCTGAAGAAACGGAAGCCCGCCCTACCGGACTACCCCGGCCAGGACCTGCGGCAGACGTCTCTCCCTCGCCTTGGGTAGCAACCTCACCGCCTCGGCACTACACGCCATTTTCGTTCGATCACCGGTCTCCTCCTGCGTCTGCGCTGGCGGAGCTTGGTGTGTTCCGATCCAATGTACCGTCACCGTCGTCGTCAATCTCCTCTAGCTTTGTCTACATGCCACCAACGAGCCCGCTTGTGCAGTCCCAGAGCAACTACGACGAAGACGACGGGGGGGATAGCAGCCTCCCCATGGACCACATCGACATTGCCCTTGGCAGTAGCCCGACACAGAGAGCCGCTGGCAGTAGAGCGAATGCAAGGCGGCATACGCTGACATTCTCTCACAATCGCCACTTGCAGTCATCCCCTTACTCTGTCCCAATCATATCGCACCCGCACCCCCGCCCACTGTCAGGAAACCTACGCCGTGAGAACACGCTTCCCTACCAGGCACACCAGCCTCGTAGATCACTTTCTACGACCTCCAACTACAATATCGACCATTTCCCTCCGACTTTCAACTCCGCATCTACCCCTCAGACACCGCTACTCTCACGTTCCCGAAGACCGTCGTTCACCTTGGACTCGTCCCCCCTTCAGCATGCGTCCATGGTTGGCTCTTACGAAGAGAGCATTCTCCGTGGCCGTATGTCTACAACGCCGTCGAAGCCGCTTGATTTCCTCGCTCAAATCGGCGTTCTGGGCCTGGGAGCCAAGTGCAAACCCGGTCTTCGCTGCCCAGCACACGTCACGCTTCCATTCTCAGCCGTCTTTTACAGCTACGCAACAACATCCTACGGCCGGTCCAAAGCCGAAGACGGCCCCAGTCCCTATGTGGGCATGGTCGACCTCGAGAATGGATTGCCCAATTCAGGCGCCGAGCAACGATCAAAACGCAAGGCAATGATGCCCAGTCGACGGACCGCCTCGCGCACCCGACCGGAACAGTTCAAGCAGGGCGGAACGAACGGCACAACCAATGCGGGAGAAAGCCACAATCTTGCCCGTCCAGTGGAGGGCAATCCGAATGGAGACGAGATTGTCATGGAAGACATGCATGTGGAGCGACTCGATCTATCCGATACAGAGGCGAACAAACCAACTGCTACTGCGTCTCGTTCTCATAAGAGACGTCCGCATGGCCCCAAAGTCCCGCCAGGCGGCTCCTACCGCATTCCAGAACAGGGCCAACTTCAAATCATTATCAAAAACCAGAATAAGACGGCCGTTAAGCTGTTCTTGGTCCCCTACGACTTGACCGGGATGGAGGCAGGCACGAAAACGTTCATTCGACAGCGCAGTTACTCGGCCGGTCCGATTATCGACAACCTGCCAGCCACGAGCGACACGTCATCTGATCGCCCCATTTTGCGGTACCTGATTCACTTGCATATTTGCTGTCCTTCGCGTGGGCGCTACTATCTCTACAAAAGCATCCGAGTTGTTTTTGCCAATCGCGTACCGGACGGAAAAGAGAAGCTGAGAAACGAACTGACCTTTCCTGAGCCCCTCTATTCGCCCTACAAGCCCATCCGCGTGATGCACCCGCCTGCGGGTATTGCCGGTGGTAGTGGTTACCACGTGGGCGGGAACGGCCCGGGAGCCGCTCTTGCTGCCGAGAAAGCGTACCGACGGCGCAGTTCGGGCTTGTCATTCACTGCCAATGCCATGTCGCAAGCCTTTGACGCGTTTGGCGTCCAGCACCCACTTGTGCCCGCCATCCCAACGCAATCGGCCTTACCAAAGCCTGCTGTGTCCTCGCGCTCCTGGTCCAACCACGGTATAGTCGGTCAGCTGCCTTTCGACCAGACTGAAAGCAATGCGATTGGCGGTCGTCCTTTCGTCAGATTTGACCAGCCACTGGGTTCGCCATCCGTTGCAGCACTTGGATTTGGTCCTGCAAACAGTCTGGATCAGACAACTACCGGCAAGAGCCACAACTCGAAAAGCATGGAAGAAAGCAGCAGCAGCAGCTCTACAGGCACCACGACGGTCACGTCTCCTGCTTTGCCTCTGTACAAGAAGCTCAGTAAAGGCGATATCGGCTATGGCGGAAACGCTTTCGTAAGCGGTAGCCCGGCTGCTTGCGAGGGACTCCTATCGCAACGCCTGCGGTCACTCGAAGTCGAGAAGAACGTGGCTCCTGAGGGGGCCGACAGGGAAACCCCTGACATTTGAAAATAAGTTTCCTACGGTGGTGAATCTTTTGTCGAATGGGACAATCCACCGACCATCTCCCACCACTATCATTCCCTGTATATTCACGTTTTGGATGGACAAATTTAAGGTGCCTTATAGGATTATATATACCCTACAATTCAGCTCAATCCTATCAATTCAATATATATATATATATATATTTGGTTATCATAATATCTATCTGGTTTTCTCCATTTAGAGACATACCTTGGTTAATGTACATTTGTATATTTATGTGCCGGCGTCCTCAAACGAGGAGTATATTTTCCCCCACTCTATTGTTAGACCATTCATTCATTATTGTTGACTCGTTTCATGACGAGATATTATATCATAAGACGCGTTGCGAGGCGAGTTGCTGTCGACTATCCTGCGCCGACTCCGACGGCGCAGGGTCCATGTCCGCTGGTGGAAAGATGCCCACGTCGGTGGCCACATTGTCACTGCCGCCAAACACACGCCCCTCGATGCGCGAGTTCATGCGCACCATGGTCCGCACCGCATGCACCGTGCGCGGGCTCTTGGCGCCCAGCTCGTGGAACTGCCGCTCGGCGGCCGACGACCACACGGCCATCTGCTCGAGCTCCAGGTACGCCTTGGCCAGGACCATGAAGGTGTAGGTCATGGGGCGGTTGTAGCGGGTGGCGCTCTCGCGGATGCGCTTCAGGCGCGACATGCGTGGGCTGGCGCTGCCCGTCTTGTTCATGTCTTGTTCGTTGGTGCCGGCGTTGCCGTCGGAGACTGCATCCCGCGCCTCGGGAGATTCCGATGGTACCCTGCCCTGTGTCTGCGGCAGTGAGGACGACAGGGGCTGTTGTGCTTGCTGTTTCCTGCCAGACGGGCTGCCGTCCCCATCCCCTCGCAGGCGATGGAGGGCACGGAGAGGAGCAAAGCCGCTCCACTGGCCCATGAGCTGTTCTTCGCAGACGGCAAAGGCCTCACGCGTGCGGCCGAGGCGGGCGAGGTGCTGCACATAGTGGTTCCAGTTCTTGTTGTCGAGCAAGAAGCCATTGGCGAGGGCGTCGTTGTTGACGAGGTTCATCAGCCCCTCCGGGTCCCGCTGCGCAGCGTACAGGCGCTGCATGGTCTTGAGCGGGTCCGTTAGGCCGTACCGCAACCCGGCGACCACGGGCCGGTCTTCCTTCGACTCCTGGCGGGCGGCAGGGGCGGCCGGCATGCCAGTCGCAACATGGTCACCCTTGGCGTGGCCGAGGATGGACTCGAGGCGCGTCGTCTCGAAGGTTTGCGGGCGGCTGACCTCCTGGGTGCGGGCCAGGATGTTCTGCCACATCTCCTTGACGCGGTCGAAACGGCCCTCGTAGTAGTCGGACAGCATGAGCGCGTTGCACAGCTTCAGCGGCAGGGGCTGCTGGTGCTCGTCGGCGGGCGCAATGGACTTGTACAGCTGCATCACCTCTTCGACACCGGCAAAGTCGCGCGCCTGCAGCAGCATGAAGAGGACAAACGAGAAGCGGCGGACGGCGCCGAGGTGCATGCGTGCGGCGTCGCGGCCGACGGCCTCCTTGGCGCGCGACGGCATGGACGCGTCCCGGCGGTCCTGCACATGGAGCGAGCGCTGGAACTCGCGCAGCGCCTTGGCAAACAGATCGCGGCGCTCGGTGGCGCTCAGGCCGCCCTCGGCGGGCGCGTCGCCCTTGGGGAAGTCCTGCCACTGGCTAAAGGCCTTGATGACCATCTGGACCTGCTGGCTGGAGCGCTGGAAGCCCATGTGGTGCATGAGGCGGTTGACCTGCAGGGCGCGGTGGGGCTGTTTGCTGCGAATGTAGGCCATCATGAGCAGGGTGTAGTGATGCGCCTCGGGACGGAAGATGCCGTCCTCCTGGGCGGTGCGCAGAAGCTCGACGGCGCGGCGGGGCTGGCGGCACTGCGCCAGGGCAAAGAGCAGGGCGCTGTAGGTGTTGCCGTCGTACTTGACGTGGAGGCGGGTCATGACGTTGAGGATGCGGTTGACGGCGACCAGGTCGTGGCGGAGCGCGTGGTGGTGCAGCAGCGTGTTCCAGAGCGCCGTGTACGGCTTGCTGCCGACGGTGCCGTCGCGCGTGGTGGTGACGCAGAGGCGCTCGGCGTCGTCGTAGCGCTCGTTTTGGCAGTAGGCCTCGACAATGGGGTCGATGATGGCCTCGGTGATTTTCACGCCGCACTGCTGGGCCAGCCAATACAGGTCCGAGACGAGCTCGAGATCGCCGCGGCCGCCGACAATCGACATGATGGTGCTGAAACTGTAGTCGTCCGGCGCGACAGCCTCGCAGAGGTCCTCGAAGATCTGCATGGCCTTGGCATAGTCGCCGCGCTCGACATAGACGTGCAGACGGATGTTCCAGCAGATAATGTTGGGCTTCACGTTGTACTTGTCCGACGTCTCGGCGAAGACCTGCTCGACCTGGGCCAGGTCGCCGCGCACGGCGTGCACTTTGAGCAGGTGGGCAAAGGTGTCTTGGGCGCTCGCAATGGCCGTGGGATAGACAGTGGTGAACTCGTCCCACAGGCGGTAGACGGACGTGACGTCGCCGCGGGACGCGTAAAAGGCGAGGTACTTTTGGTAGCCCCAGAAGCTGAGGCGGCCCTTGGCGTTGTACCAGTCCTTGAGCACCTCCTCCATGCCGCGAGCGTTGTGTGGGTAGTAGACGTGGCGCACCATGTCGGCGAGGGTGGACGTGTGCGGCCGGAACTTGGGCATGACGCGGTACTCCGCATAGGCCTGTGCTGCCAAGTCGAAGCGCTTGTTGTTGATGAGGACCTGGATGAAGTTCTCGAGGACACGCGGGTTTGTCAGAGACCGCACGAGGGGCAAGGCGGCGTCCGGATCGAGGCGGTTCAGCGAGGCCTCGAGAATGGCCTTGAATGCCTCTTTGAGGGACTCGAGGTCCAGGCGCTCGGCCGGGTCGGTGTTGTGCTCAGCCAGCTCGAGGGCCGCGAGCTGTTCAGGCGACTCTGAGAGCTCTGGCTGCTCCGGCTTCTGTGTTTTCTGGGCCGCCATATCGATAAACTCGGCGAACATCTGCATCTTGTCCTGCAGGCCCAGCAGCTCAACAACGGCCGTGAGCAGCGGCTCCTCGGCCTTGACCCGCCCGGTCTTCTTCTTGTAGACGCTCCACGCGGCCGAGATGGCGTCCCACGAGAGCGTCTTGAGTGCATTAGCGATCAGCAGGTCGAGCCCGGGTGCTGCGCCGTCTGCCCAAGCACCCGTGGTCGTGCTGCGCTGGAAGATGGCGAGAGCTTCCGTCCGGTTTCGGAGGCGCAGCTGGGTGTTGATGGCCGCGGCGACAGTGGCGGCGTCCCACTGCGACGGGTCAATCGTTTCAAAGAGACGAAGGACCCTGTGTGCTTCCGTCGGCCGCTTGGACGGCGTCAGAAACTGCAGGGCCGCGCGGTTCACCGCCGTCTTTTGCGGCCCGTCGTCCAGCCGGCTGTACAGGTCCCACACCCGCTCAAAGGCGTCGTGGTCGGTGGCTGTCGGCCGCAGCTGGAGGAGTTGCGTCAGGTCGACAAGAACGGCACCCTGGTCCTCGCGAGGTGCCCGAGCCAGACCGCCAACGTCGCTGCGAAACAGATCCGCGGCTCTGTGAGAAGCGTAATCAGCCGCAGCCGTTGGATGGCTCTGGACCTGGGCGCCATCGGATACCGCCGCAGAGGAGGAGAGGAGGGATCGAAAGTGTCGTATCGGTGCTGGTTTTCGTGGGGAATTTGCGGTCTGCGTAGGATTCGTGGTGGATGTGGGTGCGGTGGTTGAGCTGTCTGCCCGGCCACGGCGGTCTGTGGCTCTGGACAGCCTCCGGACAAAGGTCAAGGTGCCCTTTGGGTACAGGAAGTCGAGCAAAAAGGCCGAGGCATTGAGTGGCTCGACCTGGGACAGCTCTGGAGTGTACATGTCGAAATAGCCGTCTCGCGGATCGGATCCGTGCATTCCTCGCTGTGACAACAGGGCCTGCAGGGTACCAGGCGACGTGCCGCTGGCTTTTGACACGTTGGGCAGCAGCCGCTGGAGCCCGGCCGGCTCCAGCCCCGCCGCTGTGCGGTCGAGCAGCGGCATCAGGTTGAAGCGGCCGTCGTCGGCAAAGTGGCAAGATGGCGGCGTGTATGCCGTGAGATGGGAGGACGGTTGTCGGGTGGCGAGCAGGCTATGGACACATTATGGGCAGGTCGAGACGTATTCCGAAGAAGCCCAATGCCACTTGGGTCTGCTGGTCGGTCGAGAAGCCCAGCCGGTGCAGAGCAACAGAGCAAAAGCAAGCTGCGTGGAATTGCTGGCGACGAAAAACGTGAAGCCTCACTTTAGCATGTGCATATAAATAAAGCTCCGCGTGGCAATGGAAAGACGAAGAGATTTGCCTGGGTGCACGGTTTGTTCTGCACCGCAGTCGACTGTCGTAGAGCCCAGCTCGAAACGTGTGGTTGTGTCAGGCTGTGGTGTTGTTTGGCGGCAAATGGTGGGCTCGCAGGCGGAATGGAAGTATCTACAGATGGACGTTCATACTAACATTTTTTCGATGGGAAAGTGGTCCGATGTTATGGTCTGCTTGGCAGGTGCATTGATGGCAGGTGCCCAAGCTACGAATTACTGGAGCTTTTGCGCCGGAGCGGCCAATGAATGATCCGTGCCTTCCCTCTGTGCAACGCTTTAGCGGACGGCGGGTGCGACCCACTGGACGTCGTCGTTTTGCGATTATGGGCTCTTTGGGCAGGAGCGACAGGCGCACAGAAGCGTTCTCAGAAGGTGGGGCACGAGACTCGCTGCTGCCAAACGAAAGGAAAAAACGGTGCTAGCAAATTTACACGCTGTCGATATCAACCCCACACATTTGGCAGACGACAAACAGGAAGCAGCAAAATAGAAAATAGGAGAACGGGACAGCACACGTCTCTCAAGACTCTCGACCGGCCACACCGCCCTCGCAGACCATACGACGACAAGCCGCACGCTCGATCCGCTGTGGACGACCGAGGACGCACGCCGACGGCCTCACTCTCTGCTCCGGCCTGGCGATTGTCACGAGGGGCGAGAGGAAGACGGCGGACGACAGAGAGGAAATAGCAAAGAGGACGACCACACCATGGACATCACACAGTTTGTGGTCTCGTCCAGAGACAAGGCCCTGCTGTACGGCGACTACAGCACCTACCGCACACAGCTGGCGCACCGTCTGCTGAATATCCGGAAAAAGCTGCGCGTGGCCACCCGGCATCGGGGCAAATACAACCACAATGCGAACAACATCACGGCCGAGCAGGTGGCTGCAGACGTGAGGTGTGTATTCTCTGTTTTTTGGGGGGGTGAGGGGGGCTGTTCGACTCTTGACTAACTGCTCAGCTACGCACGACTCCAACTGCTCACGGCCGAGCGCGCTTTCGCCCAGGCCATGGCCATGAAGGCAGCCCATGCCTCCAACAAAAAAGGCATCACCGGCCACACCCGCTCGCACATCGTCTCGCGTCTCGACAAGGCCGCCAAGTACGCCGCCGGCCTGTCGGATCTGCTGCAGGACGATGCCAGCGGCGCCAGCGACGTTGACCGTCTGGAGGCGCGTGCCTATGCCGCCATGCTCCGGGGCGCCGCCGCGTTCGAGAAGCAGGCCTGGGAGCTGTGCTTGGCCAACTACGCCGCCGTCTGGGCCATCTACAGTGCCCTCTCATCCGCCTCGCCCACCCGCGCCGACATCTTCCGCGACCTGCTCGCCGAGACCGTTGAGCCGTCGCTGCGGTACGCCGCCTACCAGCTCAAGATGCCGCGCTCCAAGCCCATCCCCATCGTCGCACGCGAGGCCCTCCTGTCTGCCAAGAGCGTCGCCGCCACGCCGGACACGTCTGCGCTCGTCGCCTCTGTCAACCAGATCGACCCGGCCATTTTGCAGCCCAAGACGGCCGCCACGGCCGACGGCATCGAGAGCCTCGAGGCGGCTGCGCCAGGGACTGTGGGTGGCGTCGTGGCCTCGACGCGCACGCTGACGTGGCGGTCGCACGAGGTCAAGATCGAGGACGCCGCCATTGCCTCGGCGTGGGCCGCGCTGGACCTGGCCAAGGCACGCCTCGAGGCGCAGCTGGTGGCCGGCGGCGCCCGCATGGCCCCCAAGGACAAGGCGGCCGCCTACGACGACGTGCTGACCGTCAGCCAGGACGCCGTCGACGCCACCAAGGCCGCCATCGACGACCTGCGCAACGAGGGCATTCCCCAGAGCGACCCCAATGTGCAGCTCCTGTACATTGCGCGCACCGCCGCCAACTACGAGATGATCAGCGACCGCATCGGCCGCAACCGTGTCCTGACGGGTCCGCACGACGGCGCCGTCGTGCAGTCGGCCCCCGTCGTCACAAGAAAGGCCAAGGGCAAGCCGGCCGTGGCGCGCCCCGAAGCCCCTGGTCGCCTGCTGGCGCGCCTCAAGGAGAAGCTTGTCCTCTACGACGGCACGCTCCAGAGCCTCGAGACCGTCAAGGAGCTGCCCGGTGTCGCCGCCGACGTGGAGCTGGCCGAGCAGCTCGACGCGACCGCCAAGTACTTTGTCGCCCTCAAGTCGCTCGCCATTGCCCGCTCGCACACGCTGGCCGGCCATGCGGCCAACGCCCTGGCCCTCGTCAAGTACGCCCACGACCAGGCGGATGCCGCGGCCCCGGTCCTCACCAAGGCCGCCACCGGTGGTGCGCGCAAGGCGACGGGCAGCGGCCAGACACAGGACTCGCCGCTGCGCAGCATCCACGTCTCGGCCGACGACGTCGCCTTCCTGCAGGCCCTGCTGCAGGCCGAGCTCCAGCGGACTCGTGCATTGGTCGACATTGAGAAACAGCAGCCAGCGGCTGGTGGCGCTGCGGCCAGCAAGGCCGGCGCGCTGGCCCTGTCCGAGACGCTCGGCGAGTACCCGCCGGGCGCCGTCGACCTCGACAACATTGTGTCCTACCCGCCGCGGATACAGGCCGTGCCCGTCAAGCCCATCTTCCTCGACATTGCATGGAACTACATTGACTACCCGAGCAAGGCGGGCAGTGGTGCTGCAGCAGCTGTCAAGACCGAGAGCAACCAGCAGGCGGCACCAGCGGCCTCGGGCGCGCCGCCAACCCAGCAGGAACAGCCGCAAAAGCGTGGCTGGTTCGGTTTCAAGAGATAAGACAATGATTGTGTTTCTACGACTCTTATATTTTCTTCGTCATTAAAAACATACTTTTTTTCCCCAGATTTCTACGGCACGAAAAGGCAAAGCATTATCCTTACGGGTACCTTAAGAATGAGTGGGGATATGTCTATTATGTTTATATGTAAATAGATGACCGCAAGCCGGTCAAGCTTGCTAGACATGGTGGATCAAAGTAAAAAACGACAAGGGAAAGAAGAGCATGCGCTGCACTGCCCAGGCTTTTCAACTTTGTGTCTTGCCTCTGTCTGTTCCTAATGAGAAACATAAAACAAACGTAAACAACTTTGTTTTAAATGCTCGTAAACGCCGCGTTGTCCCGCCTATTGTGCCTGACCTCGTTGTCCGTTCCGTCCCAACGTGTCGTGCGTCTGGCAGACAAAACGTCGATCCAGACCACACGAGACTCGTCCACAACATATGCTCTCAAGAGAAAAACGAGATTCAAAATGGTATAACAATGAAATCATGAATGTATAGAGTACAGAGAGGAGATACATGGAGAGAGATGTGAAAGATGGTGGAGCTGACGGAGATGAAGAGAGGTTTGATGGTGGAGATAAAATGAAATGGAAGAACATCGGGGGAAAATCTATAAAACCACAGATTGCGCTAAAAATTCAAAAAAGGATTCCCAGGCCCATCATTTCTTTTTGGTTTCCTCGTCCCAAATTGTTTTTTTGTGACTTGTTTTGCTTTTTTTGATTTGTTGTCGCTGGCGATGCCGAGCTCGTCCTGTCTGGCTGTCGGGCTGTTTCGCCCTACATTTACTGCTTGGTCTCGTCCTTCTTCTCGCCCTCGGGCTTCTGCTCCTCCTGGGGCTGGTCCTCGCCGCGGGCGCGGTGGACCTTGTCCAGCAGGTTCAGCGAGGCGTTCTGCAGCTCGTCGACCTTGGCCTTGATGTCCTCGGCGGTGGCATCGCCCTCGCCGGCCTGGCTCTTGGAGATGTACTCGCGGAGCTCAGTGATCTTCTCGCGCAACTGGTCCGACTCGGTCTTGTCCAGCTTGTCGGCGTGGTCGGTCAGGGCCTTCTCGGTGTCCGTCAGGATGCTGTCGGCGCGGTTCGACGCCTCAATGGCGTCCTTGCGCACCTTGTCCTGCTCGGCGTACTGCTCCGACTCGTCCACCATGCGCTGGATCTCCGAGTCCGACAGACCCGAGCCCGAGGCAATCGTGATGGACTGGTCCTTGTTCGTGGACTTGTCCTTGGCGTGCACGTGCACAATCGAGTCGGCGTCAATGTCAAACGTCACCTCGATCTGGGGCACGCCGCGGTGGGCCGGCGGGATGCCGACCAGCTGGAAGTTGCCCAGCAGCTTGTTGTCCTTGACAAGCTCGCGCTCGCCCTGGTAGACCTTGATCTCCACGGCAGTTTGGAAGTCGGCGGCCGTCGAAAAGACTTGCGACTTCTTGGTGGGGATGGTGGTGTTGCGGTTGATCAGACGGGTGAACACACCGCCCAGGGTCTCGATGCCCAGGGACAGCGGCGTCACGTCCAGCAGCAGCAGGTCCGTGACCTCACCCGACAGGACGGCACCCTGGATGGCGGCGCCGATGGCGACGGCCTCGTCGGGGTTGACCGACTTGGCGGGCTCGCGGCCGAAGATGCCCTTGACGGACTCAGACACCTTGGGCATGCGGGTCATGCCACCGACCAGGATGACCTCCTGGATGTCCTTGGCCTGCAGGTTGGCGTCCTTGAGGGCCTTGCGCACGGGCTCAATGGTGCGGGTGATGAGCGGGTCCATCATCTTCTCGAGCTGCGCGCGGGTCAGCTTGGTGTTGATGTGCTTGGGGCCCGAGGCGTCGGCCGTGATGAAGGGCAGGTTGATGTCGGTCTGCTGCGACGACGACAGCTCGATCTTGGCCTTCTCGGCGGCCTCGCGAATGCGCTGGATGGCCATGCGGTCGCCCGACAGGTCCAGGCCGGAGTCCTTCTTGAACTGGTCAACCAGGTGGCGGACCAGCGTGATGTCGAAATCCTCACCACCCAGGTGGGTGTCGCCGTTGGTCGACTTGACCTCGAAGACGCCGCTCTGGATCTCCAGGACGGAGATATCGAAGGTGCCACCGCCCAGATCGTAGACGGCAATGACGCGGTCGGCCTCCTTCTCCAGACCGTAGGCCAGGGCCGCAGCAGTGGGCTCGTTGACGACGCGCAGGACGTTGAGGCCGGCGATCTGGCCGGCGTCCTTGGTGGCCTGGCGCTGGGAGTCGTTGAAGTAGGCGGGGACGGTGACGACGGCGTTCTTGACGGGCTTGCTGAGGTAGGACTCGGCGGTCTCCTTCATCTTCTGCAGAACAAAGCCGCCGACTTGCGAGGGCGAGTAGTTCTTGCCGCGGGCAGCGACCCAGGCGTCGCCGTTGGTGTGCTGGACAATCTTGTACGGGACCTCCTTCAGGTCACGCTGGACCTCGGCGTCCTTGAACTTGCGGCCAATCAACCGCTTCGTGGCGAACAGGGTGTTTTCGGGGTTGACGACGGCCTGGCGCTTGGCCGCGACACCGACTAACCGCTCGCCGTCCTCGGAGAAGGCGACGACGGAGGGGGTGGTGCGGGCACCCTCGGCGTTTTCAATGATCTTGGGGACCTTGCCCTCCATGATGGCAACGGCCGAGTTGGTGGTGCCGAGATCGATACCGATGACGGCGCCCTTGACCTTCTCCTCGGTGCCGGTCGACTCGAAGCGAGCAAAGGCAGGACGGAAGGCGCTGGCGCGCATCGCCGCCGGGCGTGTGGCCACGGAGGATGCCCGGGGAAGCTGTGCCGGTTAGCGGAGGGCTCAGGTCGTCGGAATTGCAGCTGGGAGAATGGGACAAGGTACTCACGGCTCTGGAGAAACGAGCGGCCAACATGATGTCGGATGTGTAGAAGAAAGAAAAAAGAAAAAAACAAGATACAACAGAGACCACTCAAGACAACTTGGACGACAACGGAGGAGACTGCGCAGAAGAGGTGAGTCGGGAAAAGATGCACCGTGGGGTATAACGTGAGAAAATGATGAAGAAATGGTGTGGGCAGAGGGGACCTGGAGAGAGGATGGAAGATTTTATGGAAGAGCTTTTTTTCGGCCGCTTCTTTTCCTTTTTTTCATTGCCCCTGCTCTCTGAAAAATTCGAGAAGGTGCTGGGCCAGTCACAGGCGCTGAATCCTATTGGCTGCTGGTCGCCCGCTAGAGCGACAAGCTCCACTTTTCCGGTTGCCACAGACGCCTAAAGCGGTAGAAAGGTCACGTGCATTCGCCAAATGTAGCACACGTGACTATGTTCCGGGTCTAAGCGGGATGTGAGGAAGGAGCGATGGCCTGAGAATGCAAAATGCTCCCCCAAAGGACGCTCAAAGCACACCCACAATGTCTATCTTTCTTGATTGTGTCCACGCTGCTCTTCTCAGGAAGCACACAAACAGCCAGCATTGTGACTCTCTACTACTCCGTACCAGGGCTTACCAATGACCTCGTCGGCTTTACGTGGACCAGCCAGAGCAAGCGGTCGAAAGCGGCAGGAAGGAATAAGACCGAGACCGAGCTGTTGCCGCTTTTTACTCGCGACCGAGGTCCATTGGAGCAGGAGCGAGCTGGGCCGCAAAAAAATACAGATTAAGCTGGGGTTCCGGGCCGGAGGAGGAAGGTGCCAAAGCTGGGCTGTGCTAGGACAGGAAGGCCAAAAGAAGGGAAAGAGCACCCCACCGAAACATAACTCACCGCCTTCACTATGAGCGAAAACCGGCAGACAATGCTGCTGTAACGTTTTGCTCGCGCATGCCTCGCACGCCGTGGCTCCCAGAGATGGAGACGCACTGATGCTGCAATGTCTGTACTTGATGGTTGATACCGCGGTGCGTCCTTGTTCTGTTACACTTTGCAACTCGTGCTTTGGCGTTGATTGCAACACAGTGTAATACAGTGCGCAAACAGGCCAGCGCCTTCCCCAGCAGCGTAGGGTGGATTTCATGGGATTTCAGCCTCGTCGCCAAGGCGCACGATCCACTATCCCGTTCGCACAGTGGCCAGCGCGGCGCACCTGCCCGCCAATTACAGAGCACACAGTGCCGCTTTGCAGCCCGGTACGGCGCCTGCTGCCTCCGCAAAGGAAACTACAGCTGGCTCCTTGCTGAACGTCATCTCGCGGCCTTTCGTCTGTAATTCATCGTCGTCGCAAATTGAGAGACATAGTCATCAAACTGCATCCCCCTCTGCACACGACCGCCGCGCCTCGTCTCATTTCCACCGACATCTGTCCTTTGATTGTACAAAGATCAAACGAATCGGTCGACCAACGTCGACTCTCGCTGCGAGGACGCCCCTGATTGCTGTGATACAATCGACGACGATCCGCGCCTTCAAACGTCGACTTTGATCACGACAACACCAACCACACGAACCACACCATCCCCCCGGTGCCACGGACGCATTAGCCGCTGCGGCGTCGCGTTGCCATCGAATCCTGCGACTGCCGATTACCTTTCTTCGCTCGGCCCGTATCTGGGCCACCCCCGTCGCAACTGCGCTTCCTCCTTTGCTGGTGGATGTCGCACCACCTTGTCCCTGTTCTGCTATTGACCACCGACGACTTCGACTGCCATGGCCGTGGGGGATGTGAAAGACGAGACTGCGTATGTCTTGGGGGATGGTCCACAGACAGAGTCGTCGACGGCGGTGATAATCCATCCGCTCGCAATCGAGCCATCTGTGCTAACCTCAGCGAAACGATAGGTGCTATCCGACCGAAGCCCTGATTTGCCGGGAGCCTAGACGACACTATCGTGCCCGCATCAATCCAATGTGCGTCACCTCTGGCTTTTGGAAGCCAGCGATACAGTCTGTTCGTAGAAACTGACCCTTGCGCTTTATCTAGTCACTGGCAGCTGCGATCTCTCATTGGCGCCGTCAACGACACCGTCTACTTCCCGGCTGGCATCGGAAACCTGCACATCCAAGAGTTCGACACCGCGACTCGAAAATCGGAAACGATTGCCGAGCTCGAGTTCTCTCCGCGATGCCTCGTGGCTCGACAGGGCTGGGTCTGCTGTGGAGGTGAAGAGGGCGAGTTTGTCGCCATCCGGGTAAATGCGACGCGGGGCGCTTCTAGCTCCCAGTCGCCGAGTGCTATCGGACCAGGACGGGGACGCAGGGAGAGCAGCGATGGCGCGGCTGCTGGATCGACAGCGGAGAGCAGGGGCGGCGCGGTCGAGGGGAGCAGCCAGGACAGGCTGACCCAGCACCCACACCGCATGGACCACGACCACAACCACGACCTTGAGAATAACGAAAACAACGACAACGACAGCGACAACGATGACAACGAACCGGGAATGGACGACGAGGAATACGACGACTTTGACATGCGCATGACCGACGCGGCATTGCTGGTAACCGTACCGTCGCGGCTGGTGGCCAAGAGCCAAAAGTTTGGCACGGACCGTGTCAACTGCATCACGATATGGACCCCGTCGAGCTTTGTGCCGCTGTGGCCGGGCGCCTACTCGTGCCCGATCGCCGCCCTCTCCAACAACGACAAGCAGGTCACGCTTGTCAACTTGGAGACCGCCGAGGAGCTCGATGTGCTGGAATACCCCGACTGCGTTAACCGCGCCGTCATCTCGCCCGACGGCCGGTTGCTGGTGGCCGTCAGTGATGACCCGTATCTTTACATCCACGAGCGCGTGGAAAAGCAGATTGGCGGCTCCAACCGTCTCGCCCGCGGCGAGGCACAGACGACGCCGGCAAAGCACTACGAGTGGAAGCTGCTGGCCAAGCATCACCTGCGCGGCCAAAGCCGGGTCGACACCAGTGTCCACCGCGGCAGCTTTGCGGCGTGTTTCTCGAATACGGGCCGGTATCTAGCCGTCGCGACACAGTACGGTGTGATCCATGTCTACGAGACGAGCACGCTCGCCAACCCGAACACAAGCTTGGTGGCCTGCTTCAACTCGTCGAATCCCAACGTGGACTCGGGTGCCGTGCGCGAAATGTCCTTTTGTCCTGGCCCCTACGACCTTTTGGCGTGGAGCGAGGACCACGGGTCGGTGGGTGTCGCCGACGTGCGCAACGGCTTCGTGTCTCGACAGATCCTCCAGTTGTGCGACGACGACGCTTATGAGCACGTGAACATTAACGAGGTCATCCGCAACGACGAGTTTGAGGAAGAGCGCCAGCGTAGACGCACAGGTCAGCAGGGCGCTGGCGGCTCTGGCAATGCGGGCGGCGGAGACAGCACGATGAGCAACACCTTGAACGAATCCGCCAGTCCGTCGGCAAACGACTACGACATGACCTCGAGCGAGCAAGCCATGCGCATTCGGGACGCGCTGGACTGGTACCACATGCCGACGTCGTCCGGCGATGCACAGAACCTCCGCAGTATGCAGAGCATGCTGCGGCGGCAACGTTTGCTGCGCGAACAGCAGGCACTGCTGGGCCGGGATCAGCGCGACCGGGATCGTGACCGAGACACGTCCGACTTTGGACGCCGGGCGGCGTGGCTGCTTCGGTCACGGCCGTCACTGGGCTCGCGAGGCATGTCGTCGGGTGCTGACAACAGCAGCGCTATGGCCAGCGGCAGCGGCAGCGGCAGCTTGGCGAGCACCCGCAACACCGCCAGCGGTATCATTAACATCCGGACCGGCACCAGCAACAGCCGCGCCCGGAGCGCCGCACGGACGCGCGAGCAGAATGAGAATGTGACCATGGCAGTCAACGACATTCTCGGCAGCCTGCGGAATTTGCGCAACGCCCGGGATGCGGCCGATGTGGAGCGCCGCTGGCTGGCGCCGGCGCCGACCGGACTGCTTCAAGCCGCGCAACGCGCCAGCGCATTCGCTGCCGGCGTCGAAAACGACGATTCGGGCAGCGACGACAATACCTTCACGACCCGCGACGCCGCGACTTCGACGACACGGCAACGGGATCCGCTCTGGGGCAGCGGCGACGGCAGCGGCGGTATCGGGGGTCAAGACGACGTAAGCAACAGCCGGACGATGGATATTCTGCATGCGTACCAGCTCGGTGACCAGCCGCCCGCCGCCACAACTCCGGCGACGGCGGCGACGACGACCAACCGCGCGTTTGGCGGCATACCGAATTCGACCCGGCGGGCCAACCGAAACGCGCTGCCGCTGCCGCTGCCCGACACGGTGCTCAACTCGTCGAGCCTGCTGGCGTGGGACTCGAACATTCCGACGGCGCGGCGCGCTCGGGAGCCTGGCCCGACAGAGCAAAAGGACGGCCACACAGCCGGCCTTGCCTGGAGCGAGGATGGGAGTATCCTGTGAGTCTTTGTTCCCTCCCCTTTCTTCTTTGTTTTTGTTTTGTCATTTCGTTGCAGTCCCTAACCGTCCTAGGTATGTCGGAACTGAGGGTGGCATCTACGAGTTCCGGGTCAACATCAAGAGCCGGATGTTCTATCCGAGTGTGACGATGCGGTAACGAGGGGGTTTTCTGTTAGGTACACCGTTGGGGCGTTCTGGTTCTTTCTTTCCTATTTTTGATATTCTCTTTTGTTTGCTCTTTTTCGATCTTTTCTGCCACCTCGCTTCTTTATTTCTGATGGTTTGCTTGCTATGGGGATTGCAACATGGGACAGCCCCCTTCCACGGGACATAGGCTGCACAAACTGGCGTTTTGTCTGTTTCATCTATGGTTTATTCTAACCTCAGGATCTTCTTCTTTGAATGGCATCTCTTTTTTTTTGGTTGCATATCTCGTTTGCCTTGTATATTTTCTTCTTTTGTTGGTCAGTATCGTTCCGCTTCATGATCAGAGGCCACACTGTTGTCACAACTCGGCTATGGTTTTATTGTCACCAAAATATTGAGGTCATTAAAATACATCTACTATAATCTCGAATGAGTCAGTCGTATCGACATCATACCTCTTTCCGCCTCAGTTTGAATAGACCATCTTCTCCACCATCTCTCCAATCGCCAGACTGCTCGTCAACCCGGGACTCTCAATGCCCAGCAAGTTGACCCAACCACGGTAGCCCGGCTCGCTACGGACAACAAAGTCGGCCGCCCCCTGGCCCGCGCTGACCAGCTTCGGCCGCATACCGGCATAGTCGGGCTGCAGCGCTGCTGGGTCGATGCCCGGCAGGTAGGTCTTGATGGCCTCAATGGCCCGGGGCAGCTGCTGCGCGTTGACAGCCAGGTCGGTCGGGTCGTCCACCCACTCGACGTCGGGCCCAAACCGGATACGGCCGGCCAGATCGAGCGTCAGATGTGTGCCGAGACCAGCGAGCCCCGGCTCCGGGGCTGGGTACACGAGCGTCGACACGCGCGGCTGGCTGTGGGCGTAGGAAAAGTAGTTGCCCTTTGCGTAGTAGAGCGTCATGGGCTCTGGTTTGTCGGCCGCGCCGTTTCGCTGCGTAATCATGTTGTGCACAGCAGCAGCGCCAAGGCCGGCGGCATTGACAATCGTCTCGGCCGTCACGACTGTCTCTTCGGCGTCCGTCGCCGACGACGTCTTGACGTGCAGCTGCCAGCCGCCGTCGCCTGGCTGCCGGGAGGCACTGGCACTGCCGACCGGCGGCAGCGGCGTAATCTTCACAACGGACGACCCGGGTGCCAGCACGCCGCCTGCCTGCTCAAACAGCCCCAGCAGCGTCTGCATCAGGCCGTGGCTGTCGACGATGCCCGTCGCCAGGCTCTCGAGCACGCCCGTCTCCGCACGCACCGCGGGCTCGCGCGCCTTGGCCTCGGCGGCCCCGACCCAGCGCAGAGGAACGGCGTCGCGGTCGTGGTAGGCCTGGCCAAAGGCATAGATCCTCTCGAGGGACGCGCGCTGGCCGGGCGTCTGGGCCACAATCCACTTGCCGGTGCGACGGTGGGCCACGCCGTACTGGTCGCAAAAGGCGTACAGCAGCTGCCGGCCGCGGATGCAGAGCTGGGTTTTGAGGGAGTCGGCGCCGTAGTAAAGGCCGGCGTGGATGACCTCACTGTTGCGGGCAGAGGTTTCGGTACCGACGGTGTTGTGGCGTTCGAGCAGGAGCACCGACGATGCCGGCGATGCAGACGAGGAAGGCGCGACCGCTGCTGCCCGCTCCGCCAGGGCACGTGCTACGGCGAGGCCGACGACGCCGCCGCCAATGACCTTTGCATGCGTGTCAGTCAACAAATTGTCAATAAGAAGACGAGACGACAGACGCTCGAACGTGACGCACTGCATGGGCAAAGTCCGCCCTCCGATGAGCGGACAGGGAGAACAATCGCCGGCCAAAAGGTCCTGGGCTGGCTGTAACAGCGGATGTTTGCAGCACTGCCGTGAACAGGCGCTGGCGAGAACGGTTCGACATTTTGAAACGAGCTCAAAATTGTGTTTTGGCTTTGTCAAGAAGCACGGAGCGTGATCGGACGTCTCCGCTCGGCGTGACGTTGAGAGATGTGGCCGTGTAAGTACCAAAGCTCAGTTGGGGTTAACCGGCTAGCGGGGTCTCAGAGCGCTATATGCACAGCTGCCACACCGTCCGCAATAATACAGTACAAGTGCAAAACAAACGCACGGGCACAAACGAGTATTGGATTTCGAAATATAAAGACTGATGTTTATTTATTTTGTGGCTCTAGAAAACGATAAAGACTGTCTAATGTATGGGTATCTCATGCGTCGGTCAAACTGCTGAGGATTTCGAGCAAGGACCGCAACTCCAGTGCGAAGAGCAAGGAACTAAAACAGAAAATAATTGAGAAGAGGAAACGCTCAATCCGACATGTACTGCTGATAAATATATTTCCAACTATGTGCGAAAGAAGGAGAGAGAAAATATACCGAAAAATCCGTATCAAACAGCATCAAGGCCCATCGCATGTGCCGGCTGACGCACCACAGGAGATGCTACCTCAGCCTCGCCCCTGGATTTGGGGGCATCATCGTCACAGCGATCGGTCCGTTGGCCGTCCGAGACACTAAAATAATCGATTGCTTGAACAGAGACAGTCGTTGCTATTACTTTCACAGCTGGCGCCGTTGTAACGGCTGCTTCATTGACGGCCACATCGGTTGCTCTTGCGGACCCGAAAGGATCCCGTCTCAGCTGTTTAAATGCCATCGCTGGCAGTTGAAGCATCCGGGGCTGCAATCCTAAAAGCTTAGACTTCACTCCTTGTGGTGGTGATGGAGGTGGTACCTCCGTAGTAGGTATCTGGTGTGCTTGGCCCTTGCCCAACGACTGCGAGCGGCGACGCCGAAGGCAGAGGTACACGGCAGAGATGACCAGAGTAGCGCTCACAGCACTAACCAGACTCGCCAGCACCGGCCGCTCAACGCGCCAACGAAAGCGGTCCTGCTCAACGACGGATGGTAGCACCAACGGTGGCGGCACTACGTCCTCGGTAGCCGGGCTGGGCGGCGGACTGCCATCGGTGGACCAGTTGGAGGGCCGGGGGCCGAGGACAAAATCGAGGCGGCCGCCGTTGGCGAAGATGTCATCATAGGTGAGCCAGGACCGGTTCCACGGTTGGCCGTTGACCTTGAGGGACTGAACGAAGATAGCCTGTGATGAAGAGGTGGTGGTGGTGACGTTGGTCGAAGTGATTTGCAAGGTCTTGCCGCCACCGAGACTGATGGTGAGGTTGTGGAACCAGGGCGAGCCAATAAGGAACGTGGTCTGTCCGGTGATCGGGTACAAGCCGGTCATGGACCAAAGGACCCATGATTCCATGGCGCCGGCGTCGCTGTTTCCCGGCAGACCCCCTGCGGTTGGCTGGTAGTAGGTGTCGGCAGCAGCACGGCTGTACTGAACAGAGAGGTCCTGGCGGCCAACAAAGTTGAAGAGGTAAGGGGTGGTGAAGCTGGGTTCGTTGCCCGGGTTGAAGATAGTATTGTTAAACTGTTCCGAACCAATGGGCCGCTGGCCAGGGACAAACATCATGGCCAGTCGGTTAGAGAAGGTGGTGTCGCCACCTGAGTAGTTAACAAGAGCCTTCATGTCGTGATGGGCGTTGAACGAGTACTCCCACGAAAGAGCCTCGTAGTCTGCACCCCAGTTAGTACACAATCCAACTAGAATACCGGGACTGCTGCACGTACAATCGTCTGCCCAGTAGCATCCGCCGCATAAGAGAGGATCTTGCTGAATAAATGAGGTCTTTGTCCGTGGTACCAGAAACCCAGAGAAGCCGAGCGATGCCGCCGATGGGTTCCAGTGCTTGCGCCAGTTGCGTGACCGATCAAGGTACTTGCTGGCGTCCTTGGCATTGCCCAGGCCCGAGGCAACCTGGTAAAGCGAAAAGTCGTTGACGGAGTACTCGACCGCACGTGTGACGGACCGACCATAGGACCGCGTGATGAAACCGTAGTTGTGCCAGTCCAGTAAGGCGCCGCGGCCCTCCTTTGTTGAGCCGGTCGGGTCGCGCGGGTCGTTGTTGTTGACCGGCACGGTCTCGGCGTTGGTCACCATGGCAGCATAGGCATCGTACCAATTGATGCTACCGCGCACGCCCTTAACGTAGGCATCGGCCAAAACGTTGTCGGCGTTCGACCCACCCTGAGTAACGCCGTTGAAAAACGACGAGCGGGCGTCCGGCATGAAGCCCTCGTGGCGCCAGATGTCGACCAGCGACCGGATGAACTCTTCGTACATGGTCGGCTGGAGAACGTGGAACAAGGCAGTTGTACAGCGAAACTGTCGACGTCAGAGGCTATTTTTTTTACCTTACATATGACAAAAAGAGCTGTCAAATTTCACCTACCAAATCCCAGAGAGTAAAAACGTCGTCGTAGTAGGGCTCCGACGAGGTCCACAAGGGGTTTTCGCCCGTCTTGTTCTGCGGGAGCAGAAACATGTGGTACAAGGACGAGTACAACAGCTGCAGCCGCGTGGTATTGTCTCTATCCGTTGTCGTGATTTTGCTAAGCACCTGGTCATTCCAGGCGGCTCGGGTCTGTGCCTCCAGGGCCGTCCGGTTGGTGCCCGGCGGCACTTGGCTGTTGACGTTGCTGCAGGCCTGGGCAGTTGACATAAAGGAGACACCGACGCGAGACGTGACAGTGTTCGTACTTGTCGAATTGAAGGAAAAGACGGCACCGAGGCGGTTCGGTGATGTGTCCACGGTGCTTGCCGCAGGAAACTGATGTATTGTGCTACCAGTGCTGCTGGTGCCGACAAACGTCTGCACCGTGCCCGGGCTATCAAAGTAGCCACAAAAGAAGACAGTCCAAGCGGGTGACAGATTCCAGCCATTGTTGTAGGTGCCGGCGCCTTGGTACTGGAGACTACTGCCGTCAGGCTTGGCGGAGGCAGAAATGTTGCCGCCGAGGTAGTGCTGGCTCAGGTAGGCACGGTCGGGGGCCGGCAAAAAATGTGACACGTCGACAATAATGCTGTTGGTGCCGCTGGTGCTGTTGGGAAATGTATATTGGTAGAGTCCTGCACGCGACGAGGCGGCAAGCTCAACGACAATACCCGAGGCCATGGTGGCTTTGTAGGAGCCCGGACTGGCTTCGTCGGCCACGGCGCCACGGGCATCGGCGTGACGCAGGAGCGGATTTTCCACGGGGATGCCCGTGATGGGCATCTGCGAGACGACGCCATATTTTGGAGCACCGCCTGTTCCACTCTCATGTAGCATACTGAAACCAGTAAAAAAGGCGGCACCTGGGACATAGCCCGAGTAACTTGACCCAGTGGCATCAGGACCGGTGTCCATGTCCGGGCCAAGCTTGACCATGCCAAAGGGTTCCGAAACACCGGGGAAGGTGTTTCCGCCGGCCTCTGTGCCAATCTAAAGGACATGAATAGCTTTGGTTATGGGGTGTGTCTGAAGGGAGAAAAGTAGAGAGAAGCCCGGCACAACTCACCAGTGGCAACACATAGCTGGCAAGGTCGGCTGCCGTAGCCAACCCTGCCATGGTCCCGAAAACGGCACAAGTCCGTGATAACGAGACCATTGCGGATTGACGAGGAGGATATGGAAAAAAGAAACGACGTGAACTACAAAGGAACAACGTAAAAAAAAGGGACAAAAGGCACCCTTTTCAACTGACAGGTTGGCCCTTTTTAGCCAGGAGTAGTGGCGGTCTTCATATTGTCAAGAAGCCGGAGACATGGTAATCAAACTGGGGAAGGTCATTGTGACACGGGACGAAAAGAAAGATGACGGTGTAAGTGGGCTCGAGGAGGTATAAGGGACAGAAGACAAGGGATAAAAAGACGGGAGACAAAAGAAAATCGAAAGTCAAATGTCAAATGTCAAATGTCAAATGTCAGGAGAAATGTTCTGCTGCCAAGACTATGAGGGAAGGAGTGACCAATGTTCAGAAAACTGACAGCGGAAGGAACGATGCAAATGCACGCGGCGGGAAAGAAGCGACGATCGATGATCAGAAGCGACCACGACGTGGGAAAGAGGTTGCTGCTGTCTTGTCTTGCTGGGGAAGGCGTGGTCCACGAGCTGGGCCGCATTGGCCCACGTGCTACTTGGTCGTGCCTGCCTTTTTATGCGTCTCTTAACAATCTCTTTTTGCAACCATTTTTGCGCGACGCCGTCATTCAGTTTCTTTCCCGTATCATTTTCTGCGACAAATGCCAGGTTCAGACCAGGACCAAGATCTCAGCAGGTGTTCTGCCGAGGCGACATGTTGCTCGGTTGTGGCAATCGTGGTATCAAAGTGAGGGTCTGATCCCCAAGAATCCAGACTAAAGGACGGTCCTAAAGCGAGCGCTTTTGATACGACACAGGATTGTGCCGGGTAGGTTTTTTCTCTCGCTGTCTCGGTTGAGTTATATTCGAGGTCAGAACGGCTTTGTATGTTTCTCAAGCCTCGTCGTTTTGTTATAGCCTCGTTGGACGCATTTTCGTTAATTTTGTCCTGTTTGACTCTATTTGGACGTATTGGTGTAAGTGGGCCAAATGCCAAGACTTTTGGAATCCTTCGTTTTTATGTTTGTCTGTTTGGGGTTGGATGATTCTCAAGGATTGTCAGAGGGGTATGGGTAATGAGCACAAACATAATAAAAATAAAGGGAATATATGACGGGTTTCTCCTGTAATGCGGAGAAAGAGACAATGAAAACCGGCACACTCAAGGATAAAAGAATGAAAAGAGATTGGGGACGATCAAGGAACCACGAGAGGGGGCAGACGGGAACAGGAAGAAACAAGCCTTTTTAATTTATATGACGGGAAATAGAAGTACTGCAGGAGCTATCTAGGACCAAAAGGCTGCAATGGATGAGGCATAGGAGTCGTAGACGAACCGCCAATGAGGAATCAGACACAGAGAAGACGACTGGCCAGCCTGCCACCAGGGACCGGCAAGCTCGAGACCGCACGGAGCGTCTCCGGTAGGCGGAAGCACGACATTCAATGCACGCGAGCAATATACAAGAAGCACACGACAATGGACCAAAGTAGACAAGCGTCTCTCCCCTGCGGCGAAAGTGTGGGGGAGAAATGCAAAAGCGGACAGAGCATCGTGAGTGGCGCTACCATGTGCTTTCGTTGGATCGTTCTGGACGAATAAACACATCCACTAATACATCCGGGGATATTCTGTGGGCCAGAAACTGAAAGGGGAGTTGCGCACCTGCTCCATAGACATAAACCAAGAATCAGTACTCTGCGCCTCTGGTGCCCTCTGCGGCGGCGTCGGCGGCGAGCAACGGGCGGGGCCCGACGAACAAAGCTTTTGCCTGCGGCAAGATAGTCGACATGGTTCTAGAATCAGGCCCAGGGTCTCAATATGATACATTGGCTTGGCTTCGGGTTTGTCTGGCCTTCGTTGTCCGTGGAATCTGACAGCGACCAGAATACGAGATAGTACAGAATCATTTAATTTTACCATTTCTAGCCCTCATCAGGCAGGCGCGGCGTACGACTTCAATGAGGAGGCGAACACAAGAAAAGGTGTCCTCTTTCATTCTCTGCTCTGAAAGGCATCGCACGCCATCGCGCACAAAACCAGCAAGGTGGAGAGAGGGGGGCTGTCCAGTTCCATGTCGTGTATATCGAAGTCTGAACGCCGGAAAGTCGTTGTTTTCTGCGCGGCCTGCGAGGCCGGTCGTATACTCGATTAGGTGCTTGATCTCTGTCAAGTCAATATGCCATCAATACTGGGGAAATGCAGAATTGCTTTTGGTTTGGGGACATGTTCTGGAGATGGAGACGCAATACCCACTGAGCGACTTATTTACGGAGCGCCAGATAGGCTAAAATGGCAGAAGCAGGAGAAAGAGTGGTCTCTGGCGGTCCAGACTCTTGGGAAGCATCTGGACGCTGAAAAGAAAAGTCAGAAAGGTTGCTCGTGTTTGGCTGCAGCATCCCATGCTGTCATCGGCCAATAAAGTCACGTAGGAACGCCACACGACGTTGTGTCTCTGTTTGTTGGCTGCAGAGCCTGGCAAGCCGGAGACTGCGGCGAAACGGCTTCGACAACACAGGCCTCCAAACTACCAATGTATGACAGTCAACGTCAAGGAAGAGCGTCACTCTCAAAATATTGCAGAAGGAGACTAAATAGACATGTTGAAAAAGATAGACTTGGAGGCAGGCCAAGATCCAAAATATATCAATGCAAAGATAATCTGCTATTTGTAGGCGCCGTGTTGGAACGGAACCTACGCAACCCACAGCCACTCGGTCCAAGAAAAGACCCGGGAACTTCGCATCAAAAACAAGAAGGAAAATATCAAAAGAAAAGGGAACACAGAACACAAAACGTAATATCTATCCATCGTATGTATGTAATTTCTGTTCGCCATGGTATCGCTTTTTGGGGGTGTAAATGCAAAAATCATTCTAGAGGAACAAGAACAAAGGCTAACAGGATCGCCGTAGAGATGGCGGCAAAGCTGGAGAAGAGAGGAGAGCAAGTTGAAAGGCGGGGCGAGAGCATGGGGACGAAAGTATATGGGGGCGAGAAGGTGCAGTCAGGGCAAGACGCATAGTCACGCGCCTTACCGCGACGGTGACATGCTGTACGGTGCCTAGATTCAAATCAGTTGGCATGGGAAAGGTAAAAATGTAACAAACAGCGACAAGGGCGGGTCCACTTACAAGAACTTGTTTGGCGTTGTATATCCGGTACGCCAGTTTGCGCACCGTGCCGTCAGCGGGCACCACAGCCGGCGCAAACTCGATACCAAACATGTGGTGGATCGCGTACACCACACGTCGCGCATACTTGGAGTCCCGCTCCACGTGCCCACCAAACACGTCATCGGCGGTCGTCGGTGCAATGTCTGGGTCGCGGTCCAGGCAGTTCTGCACCACAGGGAGCAACGCCTCCTCGACGGCCTTGGCGTAGATACCGATCTTGCCGCCACCACCGCCGCCGCTGAGGCCCATGTCGACAGAGCCTTCTTCGTCGTCGTCGAACTTGGCGATTCGTACCTCGAACGGCTGTGAAATCGACATGACGTTGTGGCTGCCGTCGTGGTGATACCGGAACTCGAACACACCCGAGGTCCACCACAGTTGATCGCCCTCAAAGACCATCTCGCCCGTCACCAGGTCCGGGTCATCAGGCGACGCCTTGCCGCCCTTGACTGGCTCGTCCGACGACAGAATGCCCCGGTCAATAGCAGTGTCGAACACGCCCGGCGTCGTCGGCACCCAACGGCCAAGAGACGGCACCTCGGTCTTCTCCCGTGACCGGCCGTCCGCCACCTTATACAGGCCAACCCAGTCCTTCTTGCAATGATTGGCTGGTGCTGTCCAGCGCACGCGGATGGGAGCGCCATACTGCAGTACGATCGTCTTACCGTTGTTGTATGCGCGTGCATTAGTCTCACCCTCAGGAGACGGAGAAGTAGACGAAGAGGAAGAAATCGAAGAAGAGGCAGCGGCAGCATTGTGCGACTCTCGGCTGCCGCTCTGGACCATAGGCGATGGCAATTGCTCACCCTCGATTTCAAGACAGTAGTATTTGGGGTCGAAGCCAGCCACGCCAGGGACAATGCGAGTAATTGTAAGACGCGCAGGGTACTTGTTGAAGAGTGCTGACGTATCACGCACAATGGTCGACACACCGGCAGCCAGTTTGGGCCGCGCGGCGTCCACAAACTCCTCGACAAAGTGCCGCGTCTCGTCGAGAACGCGGTCCACGCTGTCCTGCCACTCCTTGACCGGCGGCGGCAGAGACTTGCGGATGAACTTGGTCAGACCAGCCTCGGAGCGCAGCTTGCGGCCGTAGATCTTCTGCATGTGCGGCTTCTCAACATACGCAAGGAAGCCAAGCGTCAGAATGTGGCCGATCAGCGCCAGGATAAAGATGGACCGGCTCCACGTTATCAGGGCAGCGCCCCACAGGCCGGCTGTGCCGATGATGCGCTCCGGGTTGTTCAGGTACCGGTAGATGGACTTGTACGTCAACTTGCCGGTGCTGTCAAAGAAGAAATCGCCGTAGAACCAGCCAAACTCGCCGAGCTCGTCGTAGATGCTGAACGCCGTCCACACCTGCAGAGCCACAAGGCTGCTGCCCAGCACGTGCTTTAGGATGGCCCAGCCGTAATTCCAGTTCTCGGGGGGCGAGTACATCTTCCAGCAGGCCATCATGAACGACATATGGCACATGGCCATGCTGATGTGGTACATGCCCTTCCACTGCTGCCAGGCCTCGCCGGCGCTCTCACCGTACTTGAGGAAATGGCGGGTGAACCACTTGGCACTTGACTGGCGGCGCAGGATGAGGCCAAGGCCGACGTTGTACCAAATGCGCCAACCGATGGCGTGGAACAGCGAAAGGCCCTGCCAGAGCGGTGTGTTCGGGGTCACGATCGTCAGGAAGGAGAGGTAGCCGCCAAGGAGAATGACAGAGTAGTCGATCGAGCGGAACAGGTCGAGGTTCGCCATGCCCCACAGATCGTGAACGACTGCGGGGACTGCCGCGGCGGCGCCGGCCGGCGTTGTCGAGTCAATGGGCTGCTGCTGGGCATCCTGGAGCTGTCTGAGCTGCTGCACCGCCTGGGCATGGGCACTATCTGTGCTGAGGCTAGAATCAGCACGCGCAGCACGCGGGGTGGGCGGGTTGTATGTCTTCTCAATGTGCGGGTTCTCGACAACGGCCAAGAAGATAAACTGAGCGAGGTGGGCAACGATGGAAATGAACAGCACGTCGTAGCTGGCAGCCATCATGGAAATGCCGTAGTAGCCGGCATAACCAATCGAGTACATGGGATGCGGGGCCATCTCAAAGACGCCGTCAAAGGTGAGCTCCTGGTCGACCAGGTAGAAGAAGTCGCCCCAGTACCAGGCGAAATCCTTGACGACACGGTGGGCATCGAGTTTTACCCAGAGGTTGAAACCAAACAGAGCAATGCCCACAGCCCAGCGGGCGACGGCCATAACAAAGCTCTCACTTTCGGGGCGGTGGCTCGACACAATAGCAAACAAGCAGTACGACACAAAATCACACATCAAGATGAGGTCCACAACGCGGCGGAAGACGAGCCAGGTATTATACTCGATGGGCGCCTTCTCAAAGACGTAGTCCTCCGGGATCTTGGCCTCGAGCTCCCACTTCAGAAGGCGGTAGAGCCATGGACGCGGGTTCTTGCCGGTTTCCGGATTCTCGAAGAGCTTCCACCGCTTTGCCCAGGCCACCAGCAGCCGGTATTTGGACTGCACGGTCAACAAGCTGCCAATGCCAATGTTGTACGAGGCGCGCCAGAACAAAAAGAGCGCAGCACAGACAGGACGCTTCAGGCCGGCAGGGAGCAGATACGCGGCGAGAATGTGGAGGGCAAGAATGGCGAGCACCACGACGTCGGACAAGTTCTTCGGCTGGCGAGGATCGAGCAGCTGCGACACCATGTCATGGGTTGTAGGGACGGTGAAGACTGCGCGGCAAAAAAAAAAAATACGACGGGTGCCATCGTTAGCGACAAGATTCTCTTTGGTTTTGTTTTCGATGTTCCACATGTACGATTGCTCTCCACATGGGGTAATCCCGGAAACGTGGGGTGTACACACAACACGACAGATGCAAGGGCTGAAAGCACGAGCTACATACCTGTGCCGTCAGGCGTCCGGCCGTACGTCTTCTTGGGCTTCAACACGTCCTCGCCAGACGGCTCCGAGCCAACGCTGCTCACGTCGCCCTTGGCGGAGACGGATGCCGCCACAGGACCGTCGGCAGGGGCATGACGTTGGCGGAGCTGGCCGGGCTGCTCCAGAGCTGCGTCTGGGGCAGAGCTCATGGTCGGGTGTGGTTCGGGATTGAGCTGCAAGCGGGAGGTTGAGGATGCGGCAACGGGGAGAATTGGCGAAGCAATTGAGGAGATGAAGAAGAGAACGAAGAGAGGTGAGAAAGGGCGCGGTGAGGTACGCAAAAATAGAGGGAAGCGAAAGTAGATAAGAGGCAGGAAACACCGGGTCCCTGTGTTTTAGTAGTGAGGAAGGAAGGGATTGAGCTTTAGTGGGGTCCTGTCAGAAGGGGGCGGAAGGCAGGAGAAGCCCAGTGCCTCACCGTCGAACCAAGAAAACAGGAAGCACGACGTAGTAACGGAGATGTCGATCGCAAAAGAAAGAGCAATGGAGGGGTATTGCTGCAAAGTACGGCAGATGCAGAACGTGCCCTTGATACACACGCAGAGAGGCGGTTTGCGATCAGATGACGAACAGTCGCGGTTGCCGTTATTGACCGTTGCAACGCACTTCACCCATAGCTCTTGCCGTTTGACGACGTATGATTTTAGACTTGGAACCGCCTGTTGGTTTTTTGTTGAGGTTGACTTGGCAAGGACGGGAAGGAGGCCACGCGCGCGTGGGTACTGTCACATGCCCAAAACTATGCATTTTCGCAGCCCACTCAACACACAGCTGGAACAGCGACAAAACAATCCACAAAAACAGCAAAGTCGAACAGGGCAAAACATGAGAAAAGAGCAAAAAATGGCCAAAAAATTCTGTGCGCAATTTCGCGTCCCCAACGAGCCTAAGCCGTATGCAGGACGAAGCTTCTCGGCTTTGGGGTGCAGCTTGATGCAAAGGTGTGGATAGCGGGGCGTTGTGGCACCTTCCTCCAGACGTGGCAGTGGGGGCTAACGTGCTGATCGTAGCGCCGTTGCTGGTGCCGTTCAGGGCAAGCGCAACGACTAGCGAGCCTTGCCAGGCAGGCAGGAGCGTATGGATGGGGGGTTGACGAAAACAAGGAGCAGGAGGCTTTTGCATAAATACGTGACAAAATGCATCACAGCCTTGTGCCAACATTCGCGTCTGGTATGAGGGAAGACACAACGCCATGGCCCTCTAGTCGGAAAATTATGGTCGGCAGTTCGGGAAAACGAACCTTGCAGCATTCAAGACTCGAAACGGACACGCTTCGCAATACGCCCAGACAGCCTACCACCACAACAACCACCACCACCACCACCACCATTGCGCACCGCCGTCCCGTCTCTGCCTTATTGCATGCTGTTTCCGCTGCTGGCCAACCTTGTTGTGTTCCGTTTTGTCTGTTCTTCCGCGGACGTCCTGCATTTTGCCAGCAGGTTTGCCTAGCGGCCGCGAGGCACGACACCAATGAAAAATTCCCCGGTCCAATTTCGCGTGCAAAGCTGCTTAATGAGCCCGTCACCAGCACCGGCTTCGTTTTGGAGTCCTATACTTGGATCCTACTTCTTGACCGGTGCATTTCCTGCCGTCGGGTGGCGGCCAGATGGATCGAGTGAGACTTCAGCTGTGCACTCTCAGGATGAAAGTGCCCTGAGCCTGTATCTCATATCCAACCGATGATGGGACACTACAGTGGAGCCTGTTGTCACTTTCTTGGAGAGAGGCTTAGGCAGAGGCACAGCATTGAATCAGGCAGAGTCTAGATGCGCGACATTGCACACATTGCTCAGTGCGCCCCCGGTTCCTACGCGTTGTGCCTGGTATTTATTTACGCCCTTTGTTATAGTTTTACAGCCCGCACCTCCATCTCGTTGCGTTTGCTGTTCCACGGTTTATATTTATTTTCCTGCATTTTCTGGGTAAGCGAAGCAACTAGCGGTCTTTTATGTTTTATGGCGCCTGGCTTAAAATATATTGATCCATTCTGCTTGGCTCACAACCCGTCAACCAAGAGTTTGGTAAGCACTGGTCGGTGGTCCGGTGTGTCTAGGGACACCGATGGAGGTGTGGGAACGGTGGCACGGGTGACGAAATGGAGGCCGTGTGCGTGTGTGTTTGTGTGTGTGTGTGTGTTGTGAATGGGACCTTTGTTAAAAAGGAGGCTCTCACAGTCGATTCTCTCTTCAAAGTTGAAAGAAGAAGAAAAGTGCAAAAGGTCTCAAGCTCTGCTCAAAATCGCCTCCCAAGAGTATATCGGAGAAACAATCACAACATGGTCCGCGAAGCGAAGCCCCCGGTCGTGCCTCCACGCCCAAACAGGCTGCGGCCACGGCCTCACTCTCCTGCACCACCGACGTCGTCTTCTCCTTTACCGCTGGCAGTGGTGGCCGGCGCGCCTCCTCCTCCATCTCGGCCGCCAGTCCCTCCACCATCAATCTATTCACAACCGAAATCTGCTGTGACATCGTCCAATCTTGGGGTTGTGGAACAGACAAAACCGACTGGAAAAGGGTCGAAAGACAATGGGCCCATCAAGGGTGTGGCCACCGAAAAGAAATCGAGCAAGATGCTGCCCGCCGGAACGCAGCCGGTAGTGTCGTTTGGCTCCGATGCAAATGGTGGGAGCAGGACTCCCTCGCTGGGATCGGCCGTCTACGTCGTCGAGAAAAGAGACACGGAGAGCTCCGCGGAGAAGCAAAATGTCAAAGGCAATCTGGCCAAAGAACCGAGAGCTAGGGAACAGACACCCAACCCAGAACAGGTGTCAACTCGAAAGCAGGTCCCAACGCCAGGAAGCTCCTCGGGATCGACAGGAAAGCAGAGAGATGCAAGAATAAAGATCACGGACGGAACCAAGAAGAACGACTCCCAAAAAGAGGTCTCTTTGCAGAAGCCAAAGGAGCGGCTCGCGCAGTCGACTGAGCTTACAAGATCGACACGGTCACAGTCATCCAAAGCCCGAGGAAGTTCCGTTGGAGACGTCCAGTCCCTTATTCGAAGCAATCACAGCAGCATCAGTGTTGCCAGCACGATCCAGCATCTTCAGCAGCGCCAGAATGTCTATCGACGCTCCGCCGAGGCGCGCGCCTTGTATGCCGAGGCCAAAGACCATTACGGCAAAGCCAAGAATCATCTGCAAGAAGCTCTGAGGCTCTCCGTCGATGTCCTCCGTCTGACACCGCATATTCTCGTCGAGAATGTTGCCGCGAAGGAGATTGGATCCAACCGAACGACCAGTACGAGCACCAGTGCGCCTTCCGCCAGTCTTGTGAGCAGAAATAAAAGCGCACGGCCTGTTCCAGAGTATCCTGGCCTTGGTATCCAGTACCGGTCGCTGTTTACGCCCCTTCTGGCGAGCGTGAGCAACAACGACAGAGATCGGAAGCAAGCATTGGCAAAAAAACGAGCAGATGATGCCTTGGCCCAAGATCGTGCGGGCTCGAACAGACAGACAGGTGCCAAGGCGTCCGGGGCTAGTTCGTCGCGTAGTGGCCGGTCCAGTGGAACAGCGCGGACTGTCCCAGACCGGGTTCCCGCAACGACATCTGCTCCGGAGTCGTCGCCGGCTTCCATCTCTGCGTCGGTTACAAGTAGAGGCACAGGCCAGAGCAACAGGCAGAGGACGAAACGACGGGCTTCCACTATGGTGCCTTCGGGTCCTGCCTCCGTCTCGACGCGAACTGCGGCCCGGATGCGTGATAATTACGAGTACCGGTCTCGACCGCGGACCAGAAGCGCAGCCAGCCGCAGGCTACGCAAAAGGAAGGAAGAAGAAGTCGACCACGGCATCCTGTGGTTCTTTTCGTATTAGGAGACACCATGGGCAGGCTAGCAGTCTCTTACAAATAGTACACAGTCGATAGAACAAGGAGAATCTCTTTCATAGCCTGTCAAATTTCGTGAATTACAAGATCAAAAAGAACAGATTAAGCAAACAAACAAACAAATGGCATTGTTAGGAATGCGTAGAAACCCTTCTTGTTTCCGTTCCCTTCCCCGATCCTTCTTTTGCCTTTATTTTACTTCCTCTCTCCATGGACTCCGCATCAAAGGGGAAAACGAAGAGCGTCTTCCCATCTCCACGCTCCCCTTAGGTTGCCTTCTTGGCAAACTCCACGCGTATAATGAGGTGCTTGAAACCAAAGCCGTCCATCTTCTCGCACGCCTTGACCGCATCCGTCCGATCGGCAAAGCTGACAAACGCAAAGCCCTTGGCCAGACCTGTGTCGCGGTCCTTGGCCAGGAACACGCGCGTTACCCGGCCGAACCGCTCGAACATATCGCGCAGCTCCTGCTCCTCGGCCAGCTCCGACACATTCGTCACGCGCAGCGTGGCAAAGTCGTCGCGCTCGCCGTACTTGCCACCGGCACCCGCCATGCTGCTGCCCGCCCCCGCGGCCGCCGCACCGCCCCGCAGCGCGGGGGGCACGTACGAGCCCTTCTTGCCGTCGCCGCCGGCCGCGCCCGCACGCGAGGCGGCGCCCTCGTCGTCGTCGGCGCCCGTGTCGGCAGGGCCGGTTGTCTCGCCGATGGGCGCCATGGTGTCCTTGTAGGGACAGCGGGCGGTGAAATGCTCGCCGTTGCAAATACGGCACTTGACCTTCTTGTCCTTGAGCTTGTCCTTGAGGGCGTTGGCGTTGGGGTCCTTGGCCTCGTCCTTGGCGTCCTTGCGCCAGTTGGAGCTGGGGCGGAAGATGATGTTCTCGGCGATGGAGGTGGTGTCGGTGGCCGGGCCGGCAGGGTCCTTGGCCGACAGGCCGAACTTGGAGAGCGTCATGCGGTTGGCGACGCGGGGGTTGACGACCTCGCGGTGGGTGATGAAGCGGATGCGGCGCGTGGTCTTGACCTTTTGGCCCTGCTCGTTGAAGCGGTAGCTGATGGTGGTCTTGGTGCCATCCTTGTTGCTGATAGTCTGCGGCGGCGGCAGCTCGGTGCTGACGGCGGTCTCGTCAATGTCCTCGTCGTCGGCCCAGTCGTGCTTGGCACGGTTCGGCAGCGCGGCTGTCGACATGGTTGCGGTGTGTGCGTGCGTGTGTGTGTGTGTGTGGTGTGCCTTTGTTCTGTGCCTATTCTTCAATACAGGTGTGTTTCGATAACAGGCGTCCGGATCGCGATCGCAGTCGTGGGCGGGTGGGTTGTGATAGTAGGTCGTGATCGTGAGGATTGTGGTTGTGATTTGCGTGGGGCCTTTTTTTCCAGAAAGTGTGTGATTTTGTCTTGCCTTTTGCGTCGAATTTTTTGGCCACTGCCAGGCAGTGTGGGGCAAAGTTTTCAGGTCGTGCGGTACCGCAACAGCAAAATTTGGCGCACTGGTACCTGAATCTTATGGCCCATATTCTGTGTGGTTCTCTGTTGACGGTTCCCTATTTAAAGTGGGGCAAAATTGCACACACTGCTACGGGTGAGATCCTCGTATACCGTCCCTATTATCGCTGATTCGCCCGCCGCAACACCACAATGCGTACGGTAACGCTGTCGTGACGTCGGCATTGTCATTATCATTCACAATGTGGCAATGGTGCTGTTTACATTCAACATGTAGATTGTTCGTTGGCCGCATGATTCGTCCACAAAGGCAAAATAGTGCCGTTCGCTCCCAGCCTTATAATACAGTCGTCTGCTGACTGGAAAGAAAAATAATAATACAGCGCAGCAAAAGCGATACACCCAGTAATAGACTCCGTGCAACCCAAAGTCTTTCGGTTTATGTGCACCGCGCCTCTTGATGACAAAGGAAATATAAAAGACTGGAAGGTGACCAGTTGACTGGAAGGGGGGAAGATAGAAAAGAGGAAGGAAATAGGAAATAGAAGGGGTAAAAGGGAGAGAAAAGAAAGACAAAACATGAGAGAAAAAGTGAATGACAGAGCCATGTGGCCGACGAGTGTGCGGGTGTGTTGTACTCTGGCGCGAGCACACTGATCAGACCGGCAGAATTCGCCGCCGAGGGTCCGGTTCGGGCGCCTTTACAGGTAGGGGCGGGAGCGCGCAAGATGGTGGCGGCGCGGGCGGTGGTCCGTCGGCCAGCTGCGGCGGGCTGCGGCGGTGCAGTGCGCCGTTGGACGATGTGGAGCGGGCACGTGCGTGCATGACCGGTGGCGCGAGCGACCCGTTCGATGCATCAGTTACCGCCAGCGTCGCCAGAGGCTCGGGCTTGATCGACGTGCGGCCGCGGCCCGTGTCGACACTGCCGCCAGCCCGCGACATCGCAGTGGCATGATAGAGCGACAGCGGCCGCGACGTTTGACGACCATCGGCGATGCGTCCTCCGACACCAGCACTCGGCTGAACAAACATGCTCGCCCGTTTGTTGTCAGGAGGCAGCGGGAAAGAAAAGTCACTGCTGCCACGGTTGCCGTTGCTGCCATGCGAGGACCTTGGACGTGCAGGCGAGCGGCTTTGCAGGCGAGTCAGAGAGCTTGTCCGCGACTGCGACTGTCCACGCGACTGCGGCCGCGACGGGGGTTGGGGCAGGGGCTGTGACGGAGGCGGTGCCAGTGGCGGTACCAGTGGTGCAGCCAATGGTGCAGTCAATGGTGCAGCCAGCGGCGGTGGCGGTGCCGTCCAGTTGTCTCTCGGATCGTCCTCTGGCAGCTTTGGCGACAGTGCATTGTACTTGGACAAGGGCAGAATCATCGAGGCGCGCTTGGGCACGACGACGGTCCGTGGCTCAATACGCTCCGACGCCGAGTCAGAGACCGAGCGCAGCGCGAGCATGCTGAAGTGTCTACGGGGGCTGTTGCGGACAGGGACCTCCGATGCCGTGGCATAGCTATTATCGCTGCCGCTGCTGCCTGGCTTGTTGCTGTTTCGCGAAAGCGACGAGAACGATCCACTGCGTCGCCGAGACACCGGCCGGGTTGGTGAGGAGGGCTGCTTTGCAACCACGGGCTCTGGGCTCTTCCAGGCATCGAAGAGGGCAGGCGTGTCGGGCACATCGGACCCGTAACCAGGGCTGCTTGGGTTGTTGTCGTCCAGTGCCGCATTGGAAACAACAACCTCCCCAGGTAGCGGCGGCGATGTTGTACTCGGCGATGCGTGATCCGCGACAATGGACAGCGGTCGTGAGAAGGCCAGGGACGGCGGGGGCAGCCGCCGTCGACTGTTCCTGGTACTTGGCGGGCCGAATGCGGATTGCTGTAGTCGCGGCGGGGCCTCGCGAGGGGGGAGCGGGAAGGCAGAAAATGCCGCAGCCAGCGTAGAGTCAGGCACAGGATGTGCAAGCAGGTCCTGTGTCGGGGGCATGCCGGGTGCTGCGGAAGTTTTCATAACGGCCGAGTAGCGCTTCGATGCCGAATGCGGCACGCTGAAGTTGGGGATGGTTGCCGCAGCGTCAAAGAGACTAAAGTTCGTCTCACGCCGCAGTGGAACTGGTGGAGGAAGAGGTTTTGACATGGAGAACGTCGAAGTCGGCAAACGGGGTAGGGCCTCTGTCGGCGGTGGCTGCGGCGGCGGCAGCTGCGTCGGCAGCATATGAATGTCCGCCACGCGTTGGCTCGAGGTCATGACCTGCATTGATTGCCTACGTTCGAGGATGGCTGCAGCGTTGGTCCGTAACCGAACCGCTGGCCGAGCGTCTGGGCTTTCGGGAGCCGGTTGTGGTTGTGTTGGTGGAGGTGGTGGGGGCGATGGTGTGGATGTGGATGTGGCCGTCGTGCCTTGTTGTTCGTCAGTCTGGGCGTTGTGGTTGCTGGTGAAGCTGTTCCGGACAGGCGAGCATGGCGGCGACGAGCTGTCGGATGTCACAATCGTACGCTGGCCAGACGATATGTACGAAAACCGGTTGCCAGCGCTGTCCCGCAAACTCTCGAGCTGGCGTCCATCCTGTGAGTAGATGCTGTTGGTCGTCGACATGTCGTCGCTCAGAGGGTCGCGGTCGGGGAGTGACATAGTAGCCGCGGGCGAAGGCGCCTCGAGGTGTTGATGTTGGTTTCCCTCTCTTGGCGTGCGGCGGGGGATGTGTGCCACGTCACTTGGGCTGAGGATCCGGGAAAAGCGCTCCGGGTCACGCACAACCAGCGTCCGGTGGTTGACCTGGAATCGAGGGTCGACGACGCCGTTCTCGGCCTTGGGCTTGCCCGTCTCGGAAAGATGCTTCTTGCCGCCCAGCTGTTCGATCTCGCGGCGCAGGATGCTAATCCAGCTCTCCATTTCCTCGGCACTCTCAAATACCATGAGGAAGGTAGTGGCTTGCCGACGCTCGGCGGCGCGGAAGGGCAAGCGGGAAAATAGAGAGCGGGAGTCGTTTGTCTGTGACCCGTCGACGTCCATGGACGAGCTAACACGCAGGACCCAGTGGCGTCCCGGGATCAGGTCGCTTGCAAACGCGGCCGAGTCGCGGCTGATGGGCAGGATCTTCTCCGGTAGGCGATCAAAGGAGCCCTCGGCAGAGTATTGCAAAAGGTAGCCCGAGGTGACGAGGACGTAGATCTTAGTCACCCAGTCGAGCTTCATGGAAGAGCCTGAGGTGTTGCGGCGGTGTCGTCTCTTTGCTTTCTCCGCGAGCTTCTCAACCCCATCTTCCAGTGAGTCAGCCTCACGAGCGGCCGCGTCGACACCACCGACGCTCCCCTGCAGGCGCATGAGGACCTCGATAGATGTAGTACATATTGGCAACTGGGCGTGCTTGATGGCCTGGGGGTATGCTTGGAACAGTGGCGGCGGGTCCCAGGTAGCGAGTGAGCCCCGAACGGCGCGTGACGAGGATATTGGCGTCCGGCTGCGCAACGGGACAGCGGGCTTCTTGGCCTTGGTGGTGCTCGGTGTTCCTATTAATGGCACTGCCGACTCGGTAGGCTGTGTGGCGGTCAC